AATCATTCTGCCGGGCGCGGTGGCTCACGCCTGTAAGCCCAGCACTTTGGGAAGCTGAGGCAGGCAGATCACTTGAGGTCAGGAGTTTGAGACCAGTCTGGCAAACATGGTGAAATCTCATCTCTACTAAACATACAAAAATTAGCCGGGCATGGTGGCAGATGCCTATAGGCCCAGCTATTCAGGAGGCTGAAGCAGGAGAATCTTGAACACGGAAGGCGAAGGTTGCAGTGAGCCAAGGTCGTGCCACTGCACTCCAGCCTGGGTGACAGAGCAAGACTCCATCTCAAAAAAAAAAAAAAAAGAGTAAATAGTTCTGAAAGTAAAGATATTAGATGTAAAAATATTTGAAATTTTTTCACTACCTTATTCTTTAATTTCATTTAAATTACATAGTACACATTTGATTAAGGAGATTCAAATTAAAATTCAACTCTACATCTGTAGATCCAAAACAAGGTTTATAGACCAATAGATCTATCGGGACAGTGGCGCTATGTTGCACTGCATAAAATAACTTATAATACTTAGAAAACAATCATCCTAACCCTTACTAGAAAATCTTCAAATTAAGTGGCTCCTCTGCCAAAAATCTCAGTGATGAAATGCTTAGAGTCTTACATTAGGTAAAATATTTCAGAAGGTAATTTATTCATCTATTTTGCCAAATGTAGCTTATTTTACTACGTCTGTAAAACTGTGGTAAATCTTACCTGTGCTTAAGAAAACATAAAATTGCTCATTAGAGAGCCAAGTTGAATGAATAAGATGTATTCTAACTTTTAAGTGCTTGTTAGAAGTCACTTACATTGTTTTGCTTCCTAATTTAAATTTATTGATGGCCCTAGAGACACAGAGATGTTTGCTGTAACACACATTGCTTCAACAACACTCATTCTCACCTCCTCTGTCAGAAGTAATTTCTAAAAACTCTTCCCACAGACAATTAACAAATAATTTTCATTGAACTAAAAAGAAAATTTTATAACAGACATGATGGAAAAATTTCTTTTCCCAGTATCTTCTTCTAACAGTAATCACAACATTCTTATTTTAAAAAAACAGCATAGTGAACATTCTTTATCTGTTAGTTTTTAGTAGTAGTCCTGAAGAATACAAATTATTCACTGAGAAGTTCATTTAAATTGGAGGGTCTACCTCTTCAAAACATATCCCGAGTCCATCCACGGCTTTCATTCTCCATTACTGCCCACTACCTTGACCCAAGGCTGCTACAGCCATCTCCCAACTGGAATTCCTGACTCCCCTTTACAAGGGAGTTTTTTGAACTGCAGACATAATGATCTTTTAAAAACAAGAAAATGACCATTTTTTCTGCATAAAACCTTCAGAAGACTTTCTACAGCACTTAGCATGAAACCCAAATCCTCCACCAGGGCCATCCAGGCCCTATGTAATCTGACCATGCCTCCCAACTTTTCAAGGCAGATGGCCTCTCCACTCCTTATTCCAAGCTCATTACCAACTCAAGGTCTTTGCATTTGTCATTCCTTTAGTCTGGACCATTCTCCAACTAGATCTCAGTCTGCCTACTGCTCATCACTCAGGTGTGAGCTGTCTCCTCCATAGAGAGCTCTTTTCTGGCCATCCTATCACCTTATTTAAGTCTTCCTTGCTCTGCAAACATTTTATTTGTATTCTGTTATCCATCTCTTCGTACTAGGATATAAGCTGCATGACAGCAGGGGACTAGTCTGCTTTCATTTCTATATTCCCAGCACAGCCTCTAGCACACAGCACCCAATGTTGCTGATGAATGTTAATTACACTAGCACAGTGCTTAGGAGCCTGGGCTTTGGAGTTAGATCAATCAGGGTTCAAATACCAGGCTAGCAATTTACTATCTCAGTAACTTATTTGGACAAATTCTTTTTAAAGACTTGATTTCTTTATAAAATAGAAATATTTGTGGGGCAAAATAAATCCAAATTTAAATGAGGTAGGTGGGATTCATTTCCTTAGCCAGAGTTAAGGCTCTAATTCAAGACTTTCTCTTAATTCCCAACCTCAAACTTAAGATGTTATGAAGGGGAAAAAACAGCAAACTTTCAGTCATCCTTATGTCATAATTTTCTTTCAGAGACCTAAAAGTGCAGTGTTTTAGGAGCATATACACAGGTTCTGCAGTCAGACGGCCTGAGTTCAAGTCCTGCTCCGGCACTTAACTGCTGGCAGTGATACCAACTCCCGGGCCTCGGCCTCCTCAGGGAAGAACAGCACTTCCATCAGGGAGCAATGCCAGGAGAACCCTTGGCACCTCAGTGCTTCCTCCACGCTAGGCACACCATCATACCCATTAGTATCTCACTGAATTGAAAATACTTCTTACTCATGCCTGTAATTCCAGCACTTTGGGAGGCCGAGGCGGGCAGATCACAAGGGTCAGGTGATCAAGACCATCCTGGCTAACACGGTGAAATTCCGTCTCTACTGAAAATACAAAAAAATTAGCTGAGCATGGTGGCGGGGGCCTGTAGTCCCAGCTACTAGGGAGGCTGAGACAGGAGAATGGCGTGAACGCAGAAGACGGAGCCTGCAGTGAGCCGAGATCACACCACTGCACTCCAGCCTGGGCGACAGTGAGACTCCGCCTAAAAACAACAAAAATAAAATGCTTCTAACTTAGGTAGATTCAAGATCTACTACCAAGAATGAATTTCACTGGAAGAACAAAATGCATTTTCCAATATGAAAATGTGAATGACATTAAAGCCATGTCAACAGATGCTGGAAGGCGCACGTAACAAGCCAGTGAGCCCCATCAACTCAGGGGTCCTCTGGCCACGAGCAACTGATGGCTTTGCTTTGAAGATCATCATTGCTCTTCAAATCTTATTCTAACAGTGTCACGTTATATTCTCTATTTACAGAGGGTCATAGGAAAATTTCCAATACTACAAAGAACTTTTAAAAAACACCCTTTAATGACTCATTTTATTAAGCAAATTCTCCCTGCTAACATCTTTGTTACTTAAATACTTAAATTCCCTATACTTTAGGCAGATCTAGTTTTACTTTTCGGTGTTTGAATAATTCCCTTTCAAAAAATATTCTCTTCAAGGCACTTTCCTCCAATGTGCACAGCCCATTCACTTTCAGAAGACAACGGCGATGATAAATAAAAGCCATCACAGGATCTGTAAGGTGGATGGTTTAGGTTGTTCCTTTCCCAGAATCATTAAGGGGCACAAACGAACTGAATCTCATTGTCTGGGAGGAATTTGGACCACCTGTCTGGCAGCACACTGGCTGGGGGTGGACTGTGTGCGGACGTCCTGGGGGGAGGGTGTGGAGGAAGGCAACACACACAAAACACTCTCGTCCACATCCCTTCCTCTGCTTTTTAACTGGATGAAAATATGGCTTTGTGTCGGTTCAGGTGACATAAAAAGGTGAAAACAGTAGATCTCAAATTATATTTTACTTTAAATATCAAAGGTCGAAAAGGGGTCCACAAATCAGTAGCTCCTGAGACCTTGCATGCGCGCGTGCCTGCTTAAGTCGGTCTGTTTCAATTCCACATGGGTTTTTCCACACACTGGTTCCTGGCATCGAGCGCTGGTCTGCAGGACACCAGAGTGCCTTTGTGTCCCTTGCTGACACTACTGCATTGTGTTTTTCTACCCATTAACCAAGGATAAATGACCTAGATATTGTGCCTATTAAAGCCTCATTTTTCTTTTGCCCTTTTGTTCTTCAGTGTACCACATTATCACACGCTGCACACATTTCTAAGTATTCTCAGTCTCAGATGCCCTTTTGAGGGAGTAATAGGAGCTTTTTGTATGCATTTCTGTTGAGATATCTGGAGTGGAATTATGTGAGAGTAATTCAAGGTTTTCTTTCCTGTCTAGTCTTGGAGACAGTTTAGTGTATTACTAAAAGCTAATCTAGTATAAGAGGATATATCAAGAAACTACAAAAGCCAGAATGCTGTATTTGCATCTATTGCGAATACAAAAAATAGAGTGAACACCAGTTTCCCTATATACTACATTCTATAATTACATCTCTGCATATCATGGGTCACTTTTATTAAAAGCATCATTACTACAGTTGGCAGCAATTTACATTTTATCTTACATGATAGCAGTTTTCCAAGAAAAAAATAAAAGGACATCACAACAAAGAAAAACAATACATTTACAAAGTCATGTCTGTAAACTTCAAGGCTAGTTTAGAGCTGAGGTAATGCTGTTTTAGCTTTGTGGCTAAAGTAACAAAGTCCTTTAATTTAAAAAAGGTACCTGATTCTCTCTTCTCTCACTCTTTATTTATTCATCTATTTATTTTGTTTTTACCAGTGCATTACAAGACCACAAGACAATGGAACTGTAGTTCTGTCTGGCAAGAACCCTCCCAGTAGGTGAGTTTTCCAAAGGGACCCTTCACATTCAACAGCTGCCTTATTATTGCTGCGCCTCGGGACAGAGGCGTTCACACTAGCGTGGAGATTGTCAGAGTGGGTGGATGTGTGTGGATGCGCGAGTGTGGGAACCCCATACAGTCAAAAAGGGAAACAAATGAGCAAGGATGATATGTATGGTAAATTTCAGCTTGACCTTCACAGCAAAAAAATTAAAAATTAAAATTAAAAAATTAAATATATAACTTCATACTTCCTTTGAGCAGCACCTTCTTCCATTAGTGCCACTCAGTTACAAATTGCTCTTTATTATAATACCAATGGTACCAAGAGAAAAAAAAAAAGCAGAGCATTATGTAAGTTTCCTTAAAAAGACATGATCACCTCTCAAATTTCATCTCTCCTAGGGATAATAAATAATGCACTGCACAATACTTAATGACCAAGATACCTTTTGACACACCTGTATAACATGACTTGAACTTTTTTTTTTTTTGCTACACTATGTTACAGAACAGCTTATAAAACTAGGTATGAACATTAACTGTGAGTGTAAACAGTAGGACTACCACTTGTCAAAAGTTTTAAACACTTGAACTGGAACTGGTACTGGTTATTCATCATTTTCATTGTTTTCTATTTCGTCCCCCCCATCAAGTGAGTCTAGCTCTTCACCCTGTGCTATTTCGTCTTCTAAGAGGGAGGACTCTGCAGTCTTATCCAGGCTCTCCTCGGCATCACTGCCTTCAAGGGTCTCTCCATCTTTAAAGGGTCCTCCCTCGGCCTTGTCAGCAGCAGCCTTTTCTTCGCTCGAGCCCACGGCATTTTGAAGTCCTGCCAATGCTGGGAACCCAGGCAGCGTCAATCCCCCCAGTCCTGGAGGTAGAAACATGGATGGGTAGAAGAGGCCTGGGGCCATGGTGGACAGGAGGAAAGGGTTGAAGGCTAGTGGGTTTGAGGGCAATCCGGCCGGGGCAGTAGCAGCACCAACAGATCCATTCGCAGAGTCAGCAGCCGAAACAGCATCTGTGCTTTTCTCAGAGTCTTTGTTCTCGTCTTCATTCTCATTTCCTTTCTCCTCTCCTTTTGAAGTGCTGTCTTCCGGTTCTCCTTGACTAGAAGCAGTAGTGGTGTTTCCAGTAGCAGCTGACAGAGGGTTATTCAACAGCCCGCCCAAGCCAAACACGTTGGGCAGGCCCGCCATTCCTGGCAGCATCAGGGGCAGCACAGCAGCAGGGTTCTTCGCATCGCCTCCGGCGGTGGCAGCTGTTGCCAGTCCTGGAGGGAAGCCCATGAGGCCTGCCAGCTGGAGCGACTGGAGATTTTGGAGATTCTGAAGGCTCGTCAGGTCCATTCCAGCAAACAGGCTGTTCACCAGCAAAGGGTTGATCCCTGATGTGGAGGCCACAGCAGCAGCGGCCGCGGCTGCTCTGGCGATCTCACTTTTGGGCCTTCTTCCTCTTCTGCTCGCTCCCTCTCCCCGCACCACAGGTCCAGTGAGAAGGCGGTCAAACATCGACTCGGGAACAAAACCCTGGAGGAGAGGGGAGGCAAACAATGGCTATAAAGGCTGCCGAAGACAACTTGATCTCAATGTGAGCTTCTGTGGTGAACCTGCCATTCCAAATAGAAATAACTAAGTAGTTCTTCCCTTCTAACAGCTCAATGATAAAACTTAATGACAGCAAAACTTGTTTTTATTATTATGTTAGCTTGCTGAACTGCAGAAAAATTGCTCAAGGCTACTCATCAGTGAGGTAAATGTCAAGTTAGCTGCATCCATAACTAACTCAAGAAATCATACATCAGGAAGTACATGATGGGGTACAAAAATAAAGTTAGGATGAGTAAGATCTAGTTTTCGGTAACACAACAGGGTGACTACATAGTCAACAATAATTTATTGTATGTTTTAAAATAACTAAAAGAGTATAATCGCATTGTTCGTAATACAAAGGGTAAATGCTTGAGGTGATGCATACCTCATCTACCCAAAGTGACTATTATGCACTCTGTACTTGTACAAAAATATCTCATGTACCCTATATATACACCTACTATGTACCCATAACACATTTTTATAAAAGAAAGTACATAATGTATAATTATATCAAATCATCACTTGAAGCCAGGTGCCGTGGCTCATGCTTGTAATTCCAACACTTTGGGAGGCCAAGACTAGAGAGGATTTCTTGAGCCCAGGAGTCTGAGACCAGCCTGGGGCACATAGCAAGACCCTATCTCTATGAAATTAAAAAAAATTATCCAGGTGTGGTGGCATATGCTTGTCATCTCAGCTACTTGGCTAATCAGGAGGCTGAGATGGGAGGACTGCTTGAGCCCAGGAGTTTGAGGCTGCCAAGTGAGCTATGATTACACCATTGCACTCCAGCCTGGGTGACACAGCAAGACCCTGTCTCTTAAAAGAAAAAAACACCATGCTGTACACCTTGAATATATATTTGATTCATCAATTAATTTTTGTCAATTAAATATCTGTCAATTAAAAAAAGTATTTGGCTGGGCAGTGGCTCACACCTGTAATCTCAGCACTTTGGGCGGTCATGGCAGACAGACTGCTTGAGGTGAGTTCGAGACCAGCCTGGGCAATGTGGCAAAATGCCTTCTCTACAAAAAATACAAAAACTAGCCAAGCTTGGTGATGTGTGCCTGTAGTCCCAGCTGCTTGGGAGGCTGAGGTGGGAGGATTGCTTGAGCCTGGGAGGTTGAGGCTGTAGTGAGCCGTGATTTTGCCACTGCACTTCAGTCTGGGTGACAAAGACCTTGCCTCAAAAAAAAAAAAAAACAAAAAAGATATTGTATGGGAGAAAATTTATGAAATAGTATAACATAATACAAACCCAGGATGTTTTATCCCCTCTATAATGTGTTATTTTGGATATTTCAAATATGTGTAAGAGAAAAAGTATTTTTGAAATATGAAAAATGTAATTATATTTTATTATCTACCCTAGAAAAATGAAAACTTATGTTCACACCAAAACCTGTACACAATTGCTTATAGCAGCTCTAGTCATAGTTTCAAAAATCAGGAAATAACCCAGATGTCCTTCAGCATGTGAGGGCTAACCCATGCAGTGTCACATCTATGCAATGGAGAGAGCTACTCGGCAACAGAAAGGAGCGAACTGTGACACGTGACCATCGATGACCTTCCATATGATGAGCAAAAGAAACTGCTCAGTTCTTCCAAACTTATGTCCTTCATGCTTACATTTTATGACATTCTCAAAAAGACAGGGATGGAGAACAGGTCAGTGGCAGCCAGGGGCTGGGGTAAGGGAAAGGACAGTATGAGGGAACTTGAGGGGGTAGGGGGATGGAACCCTATTCTGACTACGGTGTCAGTTCACAAACTCACACGTGTGTTAAGATTGACAGAACGTTACACTGAAAGAAAAGTCAGTTTTAATGTATAATTAAAACAAATAATCAGCATGTCATGAATGAACTTTTAAAAAGCTAGTAATAACAAATCTTTTAGGTAGAACTGTTGTATTTTTTTGTTGTTTTTCTTAAATCAGAAATCACAGTTAATCTTAATGATCTCAACCACCATACATCCCATTCCACAGGTGAGCTGTTAAGTAGACTTACCTGGGGCAGTTCCCTTTGGAGAAGTCTACCTCCAAGACTGTGAATGTACATTTCCATACAAACCTTTTAAATTGGAGTTGACAAATGAATTCACTTTGGATTAACGATGTATTGATGTAAGAAATGATATATTAATGATGTATGAAATGATGTATGAAAATGATGTATTATGTCAATTCTTTTAAGCTAAGAATAAGTTACAACTGAATAATTAATGGCCAACAGAAAACAAGAAAGACTCGGGAAAACAGTTTTGTATAGCTACCTTTCTTGACAGAAATGCAGTTTGTACTTACAGATTGCTTAACTATATCAGTCCAGTCTGGAGCAACTGCAAATTCAGGATTTTCTTCCAGCCACCTGGGTAGATCCTTCATCGGAGGCGCCATAGCTCCACCCATCTGGGTAGAGGCATTTGACAAATGATTAAAAACACAGTCTTCCCTCCCCTCTCTGTTAATCTACTCCCTACTCCTTCTATAATACACACACACACACACACAATCTGGCAGACAGGATTCTTTTCCCTTATAGAAGAGGGCAGGATAAAACACTTCTTTCTGGGCTAAGAAATCGCATAGTGATCAGTTCCCTTTCCCAGCGTTTACCTTCTTCCCATTTCGTTTATTGACAACAGGCACCCTTTCTTCTCCTGTCAAAGTGTTTATATCCAATTTATTAGGGTTTCGACATCTATGTCGTTTCTGTTTCGGTTTCTGAAATGAGGAAAATAGCACATCTGCATTCTTCTGCAAAAGAAAAAACATATTTAGTAAAACTGGTATTTAGTACTTAGTCTTCTCTATATAAATGCCAAAGAAAACTGTCAGATCATCTTCAATTATTATGGAAGTTTCAAGAATCATTTTAATTATTAATATTAGAAACCATATTCTTCTCTTTGAAAGAAAAAACTCCTTCTTTACCCCTGTCCATTAAGGAACATGTAAGTGCTGGCTTTTCCTTTTGTCTATCAATAACCTCACTTAAAGTTTTTCTTTAAATGTTTAACCAAGTTGTGATATTTTTAAAGGAGGCTTTCTATAGTACTTTTACTAATTTCTAGTTAGTGGCTTGAATGAACACAAGAGATGATACCCCATTAACAACATGAGACTGTCTGTAATGGGAACTACCCAACAAATAGACAGATCTTGTGAGGGGGTGGGGGTACATTCTGAGTGGCAAGAACACTAGGCTGAACAAACAAAACAACAAAATAAAATGTAAAACCCTACATTTAAGTTTTTAAAATTCAATCACATAAATATGGAAAGCAAAAGACTTGCATTGCTAGCTAGCAAACAGTTTGTGTGACAAACCATTTGGAGATATGAACTGTCTAATGTTTAATATAAGGCACCAGCGTTAGTTGCCGTAAAAGCAGCTAATACAATCTTGGGCTGCACTAACTGGTCAAATCTCTGGAAGTAATGGCTTCATAGCACTCTGGGATGGCGGAGCCTTGTCTGGAGACTAGAGAAAGTACATTCAAGAGTGTTACCCCAATACTAAGACCGCCTGGAAACAATGCCATGGAAAGAATAACTGAAGAAGTCACATGAGTTTGATGGGAGAAGCAAACAGTAAGGAAATGCATAATGCGCATCTTCAAATAACCATAAGGCTGCCTTCAGTAAGACAGACCTAAAGCTAGTATCTGAAATGAAGAAGATTCAACAACAAAGACCCAGGAAATGTTGGAGACCAGGAAACATTCAAGGAAAAGGCAGAGGGACCAGCTGTCAGGGATTTCTATGTTGTAAGGGAATGAAGTGGACCGGCCTGCAATATTCCTTCCAACTCTAAACTCTGCAATACTCACTGGTACATAACTTGGCATATCAACAGTGTAAGTAGGGTGCAGCTTCAGCCATTCAACTAAATCCTTATTTTTAGGAGCATCTTCCCCCACCAGCCTTGTCCCATCTTCGAGATTGATAACAGGGATCCGTGTGTCTGGGTCCAGCTGTCCGGGAGAAGGAATGTTTCTTGTTGGTGGGGTCTCTATATCTTCTTCAAAAGCTTTGGTCACCTCAGCATCCTCCTGCAGAAAGTTCACAATGGTATGAATTCTCACACAAAGAGAGAGCCTCTGACAATGTCCTATTTCAAGAAAATGCTATCCGAGAATGGATCTTTGATCAAAAAGGGAAAACAGTTACTAGAAACAATGTCAGTTTGGGAACAGCTATTAAAAGTCAGAAAAAGAGGCTGGGTGCGGTGGCTCACGCCTGTAATCCCAGCACTCTGGGAGACCGAAGTGGATGGATCACCTGAGGTCAGGAGGTATAAAAAATACAAAAAATAGCCAGGCATGGTGGTGCTTGCCTGTAATCCCAGTTACCTGGGAGGCTGGGGCAGGAGAATCACTTGAACTCAGGAGGCAGAGGTTGCAGTGAGCAGAGATTGCGCCACTGCACCCCAGCCTAGGCGATAGAGTGAGACTTTGTCTCAAAAAAAAAAAAAAAAAAAAAAAAAGTTAGAAGACGAAACTTTTATATCATTCTTCACACTGTAGAATAGTAAGAAGGTAAAAAATGTATAGTCCACTAAGGTTCCATGCTTTGAAACCCTAAGCCAGCCACTGGGAATACAATATGGGGAGTATAGTCTGAGCTGATATGCATGAAGGGTGGCCTCTCAAGCTCTCTTGGAGATCCCCAAATTAAATTAAAGATAAATTTAATTTATCAAAATAAATTAAAGATATTATTTAATAATTTTTAGATACTAATTAACAAAATAAATTGAAGATAATTTATACTAAAGAAATTTCTAAAAGCCAGTTTATATGCAACTTATTGGCAATCTGTGCACAATATAATTTTGCTGGTAGTGGGACATTTTGTTTCAGGTATGTGTGGCAACATTGGAAAGAACAACGCTAACTGAAGTCTACAGTTATTTCAACCTCCAGACACCCATTTCTCCTTCCCCACAGCTCTACCATGGCCCAGGCCTGCATCACTTCCCACCCAGGTTATTGCAATATTCCTAAATGGTCTGATTCTAACCCCACCTGTCTTCAATCCAACCTCCACACCACAACGCTGGAGTCAGTTTTCTAAAATGCAGCTTTTCCCAGTTCAAAAAATTATGTCACATCACTCTCCTATTTTTTTCAATAACTGCATCCCTATTACCTCCAAGACAAAATCCAAGTTCTTCCGAATGGCATCAAGGCCCTCCATGATTTGCATCCTGCTTTCTCTCCAAGCTCATCTCTGCTGAAGCTCACTTCCTCAGCAAATTCCTCAGTTCGTCAGACCCAAGAGACTCTCTACTCTTACACATGTTCTCTGCCAACCCTTTTAAAATGACCAACTTCTACATGATCTTCAAAACTTAACTGAAGTACAGCCATCCATAGGGAAATTTCTTCATCCGTTTCTCCCCATATCCTCTTCCCTCTACTCCCAGGCTTCCTTTGGGCTCATAAAGTACCCTAGACATGTCTTGGTCATGGCACACGTGCAAAACCAGGACACATTATTATTTATCTGTTACCCCTTCCTAAACACTGCATTCTCCAGTGCAAGCACTTGTCAGGACTGTGTTTTTTGACTCTCAGTGCCGGCACAAGGAATAGTGCCAGCTTGTCCACTGTTGCTGAATGCATTCTTTTTCATGGCAGCACAGTTAGAGTGCTGACAAAATACTAAATTCTAAGATCTGTCCTCTTTCATCTAGGTAACACTGCTGGCCTTTACATCTCTTTCCTCCTCGGTTTATTTACAGATCGATCAGTGCTTTCCTTGTATTTTATGTGAATGCACATCACCCCCGACAACACCAAATGAGGAATCCCTACATTTCAAAATGTGACAGTTAAAAAAAAAAAGTTTTAAAAACACATTCTCTAACTTCAATTAGGAATTTTCTCAGGCTTTCTAAATGTGACTTCAGAAAAACATCAACAAATTCTTAAAGACTTAAAATAGTGAAATGAATAAAATCAGTCTCACATTTAAAATAGGGTGTGTAGAAGAAAGCACCTGGGTTGCATTATTAATTCCTAACACCTCGTCCAGAGATAAAGCTGTGTCATGATCCAAATATTGAACGTAATTGCCTGTAATCCCAGTACTTCAGGCGGCTGAGGTGGGTGGATTACTTGAGCCCAGAAGTTCGAGACCAGCCTGGGCAACATGGTGAAACCCTGTCCCCACCAAAAATACAAAACAATTAGCCGAGTATGGTGGCACACGCCTGTAGTTCCATCTACTCGGGAGGCTGAGGTGGGAGAATCACTTGAGCCCGGGAGGTGAAGGCTGCAGTGAGCCAAGATTGTGACACTGTGCTCCAGCCCGGGCAACAGAGTGAGACCCTGTCTCAAAAACAAACCCTGTTTCAAAACACAAAAAACCCTACAAATATTGAACGTGATAATAAACAAAAAGAAGTGTCAGCTGCAGAAACTTCCTAATTTGTTAAAGTCTATGGAGAAAGAATTTATCAGTCAACAAAATCTATGAAAGAAGTAGTTTCAAACACAAAGGCTAATCACTAGTGCTACAACTCTGTTTCAGGGCCATACCCCTAGAAATGGTGTTTTAACTTACGGAAAACATATAAGTCACAGCTAGTCCATTACAAAGTATACTTTTACAGGATTCTGAAAACAATCATACCATCAACAAATGTGACCATTATGATGACTGGTGCATTGGTAATCAATTTTTTTTGAAACAGAGTCTTGCTCTGTCGCCCAGGCTGGACTACAGTGGTGCGATTGTGGCTCACTGCAACCTCCACCTCCCGGGTTCAAGCAATTCTCCTGCCTCAGCATCCTGAGTAGCTGGGATCACAGGCACATGCCACCAGGCCAGGCTAATTTTTATAATTTGAGTAGAGGCAAGGTTTTGCCATTTTTGCCAGGCTGGTCTTGAACTCCTGACCTCAAGTGATCTACCTGCCTCAGCCTCCCAGAGTGCTGGGATTACAGGCGTGAGCCACCGTGCCCGGTCCAATTTTGAAAATTTACTCTGAATGCTTCTGTTTTAATTAGACTCCACCAGAGGGCAAACAAATTTCAGTGAATGTTATTTTTCGTTTCTGAACTTCAACTCAACCATGTCTTATCCTGCCTTCTTATTAAGCTTTCTCTGGGTTCAAGAAATAGAAAATGGGCAAATAATAATAGGGATGGAGTAAGAAAAAACATGCTGCAACAGACAACTGTCTTCCCTCAATCTCCAATTTCAGTATTTCCCAAACTATGTCCCACTGCTTGAGGAAGGGCCCAGGATGGCCCAGTACCTGGAAGGCTTCCCAGAGCACCCACTCTTCACAACACAGACAAGGAGCTCCAGCCACTATGGTGACTGGGGCTTCTAGTCAATAGGTTCAAGATATATAGTGCTAAACCATTTTTTAAAAAAACACATGTAACTGTGCTCTTTGGGATAAAATTCTGGTCATCAGTGAGTCAGGCACCACATTTTTGGGTGAGATGTAGTTGAAGCAGATTAAGAAAGAAAATCATTTTGATTATACTGCATTCATTTATTTCCTCTGAATTGAGAAAGGGAAAGTCAAAATCCATTGGTTCTATTCAAACCTATTCTAGCAAAGGTGCAGCTCAGATTTTTAAAATACTTACGGAGGTAGGAGAATTTGCAGTCACTAGCTTTTTATGTTAACACAAATCTTAGGTCCAAAACGAGACATTTATACTAATTCTAATAAATGCCAGGCCTAAAACATATCAATAACTTTAAGAGCAGAAACTTGTTTCACCTCGAGAATTCAGAGATAACAATTCTAGGCTCAGAAGAACATGTTTCTGGGTTGGGCTGTTCTTCTGAGAGCAATCAACACATCAGAACTTGGGAAGAATACATCCTCAAGCTATACTTCGTTCAGGCCAAGTGATCTGTATCAATGATCAGAATCATGACTGTTCACTGTAAAACTATTTCTTTAGTGGAGGAAGCTGGCTTTCATACCATGCTGCTGAGAGAAACACAGCCCAGCAGCGTGAGCATCGCGGGACCCTCAGCTGTCAACATGTGCAATCGCCATGCAGGCAAGCTCCCCGACTTACTGCACTCAATGACGTCCGTTTGTGGCTCATGAAAAGCAGATCAAGGCCCTCCACATTTTTCCTCCTTCCCCGCCTCCTCTTCATGGGAGGCTCTCCATCCACTAGGGAGCCATTAAGAAGATGCCTTGTGGGTGTGCGCGAAAGGCCTGCTTGGAGCAGTTCCATTTGAGTCTTAAAGGCATCAGACACTGGTGTCGAGACATTAGGCAAGATAAACTTTGAAGAAAGAGATGAAAAATTTGAGGTAGAGCTTGTTGCCTCTCTTGAGGCCTTCGATAAATCTACAACTTTTTCTTGTCCATTTTCTGAGACCACCTGAGACTCTCGAAGCTGGGCAACCATCTCCATGAGATTTCGCCTCTTGGCAGCTCTTTCGGCCTCAATTTCGATTTTTCTCCTCCTCCTCCTCCGCTGGCGAGGGACAGAGAGGTTGAGGGCATCTTCCTATTGAAAAATTCCAACAGAGTAGGGTTGCAGTGAGCCAGAATTGTATCGGCTACATGGGCTGGTTTTAGAAATAAGGAACAGGAAGGTTAAGGAATTAAGCATTCATGACTGGTGCACAGAGCTGAGGAAACAGCAGCTATCTTATTTCTAAGCAGGACCAGTGAAATATAAGCTCCCAAACTCACTCAGTTAAGGCTTGGAGGGCTCTCTTTTAAGCTGCAGAAACAAGCCATTCTAACTTACTTTTGATAACTGAGGAGAAGCAGTGAGGTCCTCACTCCCACTAATGCTGGCTTGGCCGACCATGGAGAGCTCAGCAAAGCTCCTCTTCTGCAAGGGGCTGTCCACTGTGGTGGGTGTGTAACCTGGGATGAGGCCTTGGAAATCAAACATCTGGCGCCTATTTACTGGCCATTTGCCTTTCAACACTGCTTCACAGATGTTGTCTAATCGGTTTATCATTACTCTATCCTGGAGGGAGAAGAAAAGTCACAAGAAATTTTAACAAAGCCCTGGTTAAAATTACTAGATAAATACATCCATCAAGATGCAAAAGAGCATAAAATGTTTAAAAGTCAACTGGAGGACAAAGAGTAAAAGAAAACAAAAGGCAAGAAACCAAGTAAGAAAGTAAATAAACAAAATCTCCTATAATGGCATTGATCTGGCAGAAGGTCCTAGGTGGCTTCAACACAGAAAACATGCTATTTTTAAATTACAAACACTGAACTTCGTAAAACAGAAAAATGTACTAAATAATCACCACCTTCAAAATATCTTCATATTTAAAAAGTAACTCTTGTACAAGCTCCACAGACCTCTGCTGGTGGACGTCAGTGGATGACAATGGAAACCCTGCATTAGCATCTTGCTGCCCAGGCCCTTCAGATCTACAGGCTGGATTGCAGTCCCAGGAAGTGGGACATCATTAGCGTCACTATTAATAAAGTTCAGCATTATGAAATGGGCACCAACCTAGGAACACCTAATGAATGTCAATTTGCATTCCCTACCTATTATCACTTCAAATTTCATTGAAGCGTGTACACTAAAAATTTCTAATTACAGCTTTAGACTGAGTTTCCCTAGATTAAAAGTGCCTGCTACTATAACCTTTGACTGATCTGGGAAACTCCCTCCTACACTCAATAAAGGAGGTTAGCGTAACAGGGGAACTAAAGGGACAGACAGAGGAAAGAAAATATCTTTGACAGTACATTCTTTGGTCAAAATTTTCACCTTGTTTCTTAAACAACAATAATACTGGGAAAGACCAGCCTGGGGGTAGGCTGACTGAAGCTCATTTTTTGTGTTGTTTTAAACCAGACAGCCCTGTTATGGTGATTAGGATGATTATTTCCTCGCCCCGAAAAACAGACCTAAATTATACGGGGAATTATTATAAAATTATACTATTTAGCCAAAAAAGTAATTTCCATTTTGCTTTTGGTTACAGATAACTACATTTGGAATTATCTCATAATGTGTTAAGAGCAAATGGGTCAACAGTATACCCTCTCCCAAGTCAAGAAGCTGGTAGGTTTCCAAAAATATAAAGTTGTCTTAAATCTGAAGGCTTTATTTCACATAAAAATTTTTAAAACACAGTGACAATCCACAGATTATACTAGCCAACAGGGGTAAGTAACCTAAAAGCCACATGGAGCCAAAGATCCATCCATATAAACACTCCTATTTCTTATTATCTTTCTTTCACATCACATTTCCCATCCTATTGGAAAAGTGTTCTACAATTTTTTTCTTTGGGCTTTTTCAGATCATTCTTTAAAAGCGTAAGAAAAATCTATAGTCTTCATATACTGTGTCAAAAGTTTACCTTAAAATTATTTGAAAAATCAAGTTAGAAAGATTTCCTCTACCCTAATCCCTTTTGGTCAGCCAAACAACAGCAACAAAAACCTGCCAACCTTAGGCCAAAATGAGAAGGCAAATGTTCTTTCATGAAGGAGCTGAGCTACTGAAGGATCTCCGTCCTCCATGTAGAATCCATCTCGGGTTTCATCTCTAGCAGTGCTCATGGAAGCATTGCTTTCTTCATCAAAATTCTTCCCTCTAGAGACAGCTCCTGCTGAGAAATGAGTTAATGTGCATTACTCACAACCACAGTATCAGGGAAACTGAAGTTTAGAAAGGACACGATTAAAAATGTGAATACTAATCAGCTCCATTTTATTGAGTACCTACTACATGGCTAGAACGGTATTAGGCATTGTTGTCTAAAGCTTGTAACAGCCATTTCACATAGATGGTGTTATTTCCATCTTGCAGATGATGACAAGAGGCTGAGAGAGGTTAGTCACTAGCCACCTAGCACTGTGCAAGTAAACCTTACAGGAGGATGACAGCGAACCAAGTCATTGACTCAAGAGCCTATTTTCTTCCTCATAGAAAAAAGGGCTGACCTTCTGGCAAAGTTGAAGGTTCCAGCTACAGCACAGTATGTGCTTCATTTTTACTTTGGGCCAGTTTCAGCAACCTTACTGCGACTTAAAAAATTGGTTATTTTTAGATTCTATTCCTACTCTTTACTTCTGAATCAAAACATAAGCACCAATTGTTTCAAAATGAGTAACAATATTTACTCAGTGAATGACCACCTTCCCTCACATTTGTCAAAATTAAAATCACGTAGAATTCTTAATACACTGTCACTACAAGCTACCTTCCATCCTTAAACCAAAAGTTGCTAATGTGTCCATGCAACTCTTCTTAAGAGTTTACGTTGTTCAAAATACCACGGTTACGTGCTATAAGGTGCCAGGGCAAAACACAGGTATAAGCAAAACTTGAAACTATCCCCTCATGGAAGAAAATGTACACTAAGTACTCGTGAAAAAGAAAAGAGCAGGTGCCATGCTGCCAGAAAGCAACGTATCTCACAACCAGCTGCTGTGGGATCGGGAGAGGGGCCAGTGGTGAGGCCTTACCTTCAGGCTGGGAAGACTCTTCCGACTTATCGTCATCCTCCAGCTTTTCCTCTTCATCCTCTTCGGAACCTTTCTCTGAGATAGATTTGGACCCAGCGTCTACGCCGACCTCGACACCTTTCAGTTCATTTTTCGCAGAGCTGGCCTCCGCCTCACATTCCTGCTTGCTCTCCTTTCCGCTGCCGTCGGTTTCTTCTTCCTCTTCTTTGCCCTCACCTTTCTCCTTGGCAGTTGAGTTTTCAGACTCCTCCACTTTGCCTTCCGCTTGTTCCAGTACCTTCTCATCTTGAATGTGAGCAGATGACATGACTGGAGGAGTCTGGCCAAATCCAACTGCCAGTGGGTTCAAGGAAGATGTACTACCTGCTCCTCTGTTTTGAGCAAAGTTTTTATGTGCATCCAAGAAGGATAACTCAGGGTCATTGAGGATGTGATAATCTGTCCGACTGACCCCATGTTTAGCAGCACCAACCAGCAAGTCTCGGTCATGCCGTCCACACTCCCACCACTCTGGCAGATCCAAGCTTGGCTGGCAGAGTTTAAGCCTCTCTCCCAGCTGGGGGTGATGGAGAACCTGCTCGCGGATCTTCCGTAGTAGCTCAATGCGGTACAGAGTTCGAGAGGCTCGCTCCTCTGTGATCGGCTCAATTATGGAGGAGAGGTCTGGTGGTTCTGTAACACAGAAGGGCTCATATTTACTTGGGAAGAACTCAAAAGCAGTCTACATTGTACACTTTCTTATTTTCACTTTACTGGTCTTTTCACATAGAGCTTTGTTGCTAAATGTACCTACCATCATCTGGCTTGACAGGCATTCGACATACTCGCCTACACATGGCCACAAAACAACTGAAGTATTTCTCCAAACTTTCATCAGACTTTTTGTCAAGCCTGGCAAAGGCTCGAAATTGGTTCCAGTCAAATTGCTGTTTCACAGGGTCAAAAATAACCCCAAAGGTAGATACCACACGGTAAAAATCAGCCTCTTCTCTTCTTGTCCACCTGTTAGAAAGATTATATTAGCTTGCATCACACTTCAGGAAAAGACTTAATATTTACTGTTTCTTTTCCTCTTTCTCCCAGACTTTATACATGGTAGTTATTTGGGGGTGGGGAGACAGACTGCTTTGCTGGAGTGAGCCTCTCTTTGGCGGTCACTCTTTGATATGAGTCCTATCTCCTGTGGGTCTACAGGAGCAAGGCAGAAGGGAATGTACCAGGAGCTGAGTGAAACCCTGAAGAAACTCACTTTTGCCGCTTCTCAGATATAATAGCTTCCCTTTCCGCTTCCAGAGCTCTCACTTCCTCTCGAGGCCGCCGTCTGCGCCGGTCAGTCTTCATTAGGGCCTCTTGCCTCATCTGTTGCCTTTTATAGCTGCGCTGATAGGCAGTAATGAGCCGGCGCAGACGTGTAGTCAGGGTTGAAGTGTTAGGCCAGTAAAGTTGGCCTAACTCAGCATTACTCTCACTGTGCTTGCCTGGGGAAGTGGAAAAACATTTTTGAAATGTGTAGCTGAAATCTTGCAACACACAGAGTATTCCAACAAAACAGGATGACTCGTTAAGATTCAAATGACAGTGTGGGTAAGGGCATCTCAGTGCCCTCACTTTAAAAATATAAATAAGTAATAACATTCGCTTGGAATGTATACACTTATTTCTTTTTTAATTCCTTAGAGGGGGTGAAAACATTATTTATTAGTCCTACATAAAGAAACACACTTTACAGCATAAACTTCCTTATAAAGTACTCTCCTCTAATGTATGTGCAATAATCATCTTGAGTATAAAAAATAACTGCATAATTGTTGTGTAATGATTTTATTCAGTAAAAGGTCAATATTCTAAATAAACTGAAAATATTTCAGGTAAATACAGAGCAAATGCTCTATTCCCAAGAGTTATAGTTTAGATACTTAAAATTTTTCACTAATTAGTGTAAAATATAAATCAGCTAATTATCATCAAAGAAACAGTTATCCTAGCTAAGAAATTCAATGTAATGAAAACACAACCATTAACAAGAATTAAAATGATTCACAAAACAGGTCAGTGTAGAAGAAACAAGGTGTTAAGACACTGCCATTGTGAAGCAGGTCAGTCCCTACCACGTGAACAATGACTGCTCAGCTGCACGAGCTTTTCTGGGGCCTTACCTGTGGCATGTATTTCCATGGGTTCTTCCTTATCCTCTGGAGGAGAATTTGCAAATTCCTTGAAAGCAAAGAAACAGAATGACTTTAATTTGGGGTCTCATTTTTCTTTGTCTTTTAAAGAAAAGGTCATTATCTATAAAGTTTAACAAGTCTTATATGGGCATATAATATTTAATGGAGCTATAAAAGCCAATATACTCAAGTTCATACATCTATTTCATCTTTGAATGGTGTTCTGGTTGGTTTATATTCTGGGTCTTCATCTTCTCTATCAAATTCTCCCCTATGTAAAACAAACACAAAAATTGTTTGAATGATACTGATAAGCAAGAGAGGGAAGAGGGGGTGGGTAGGAAAGAGTAACAATCTATCCAGTGCTACTTTTAATTATGGGTTTGACATCAAAAGCAACTCTATCAGTATTTAAAACATGCAGCCGTGGCAGGGTGGTGGAGGGGGTCTGGGGAGGTTGGGGGAAATGACATTTGGAAAAGAAAAACAAGTTTCAGATTACCAAGATAATGTATATTGTTTAAACAGTCATTACAATACACAAATAGGGTAGACTGGTAAACAGCACTTGAACTTCAAATCTGACACAATACAGTGTGTAGTGCAGGGTAAGAACTGAACGCTGCCAATAGATGTGAAACTGACATAAAGTTTATTCAAATTTTAAAATGTCCTTCTTACCCGTCACCACCATCTGCTAGCATGTCTGTTCCTCTTTGCTCGGCAGCTATGGCCTTGGCATCAGGCATACCAACTCGTTCCAGAAAGCACAGTGCGGGGTCAGCTCGCATGGAGTTGTACTTCTCATAGCCTGTGCCGTGCCCATCCGTGCACAGAAAACACACAGAAACAAAGAAAGGCCCCATCACAGGCAAAATCACAGCACTGCCACAACACAAGTTTGTTTCTCAGTCAAGGTTAGCAGCTATGTTGAATCTAAGTGGACCTTGTTTTAGTAGAGGAAACTACGGAATGCTCCTTCTAGGGAAGGTACTGGGGGCCAAGTTACACCTCAGGGATATTATCAGAATTACCACAAACACTAATAGAAAAACAGGTTCAGAGTAACTGCAAGATGCCTGGGAGGATTTCTGAACCTATTTTCCCCCAGATCTAATTTTGCTTGACATTTAGAAGGCTTCGCAATGTTCCTTTATGACCTCTGCAGGGGTGCGCTGAGTCCACCCCCATCCACCCTGTGAATAGCATCAGTCCTGCAGGAACTCGCATGGCTGGCTGAAAAATCCCCATATACGTAAGGCCAGCGAACCTGTCTTATTAGGTTTAGGATGATGCATGTCAGTAAGATGACACTGTTCCCTCTATGGTTTTCAAACTGCAATTTGCTTTTTGACTGCCCAAGTTGACTAGATGGAAAATGGCAGATCCCAACAGTGCACTGCGGGAAAATGATTTCGAGGCTGAGCTCACAAAACGCGGCTGCAGTACATAGGCAGAAGAGCACAATTCAATTAGGATGTGTACTACAACACACCGCTCCTAACTGCTGTAGAGCCGCAAGCCAAACTGTAATCATGAAAGGTTTTATAAGCCATCATTCTCCCCTTTAGTCAGGCTGGGCTGCTGAGAATACCTCCACGACCTCCAGAGAATTGGGATTATAATCAGGAATCGCTCACTGTATATATCATGCCAGTTCTGCATCCCCAGCCTTTCAAAGTTAACAAGGCTGCATCCCACTCAGGGGAGCCACGAGTTCTCAGCACTGACATTTGTGAAATATTGCTTGGAACAAAGCCCAGGAGGCACTTGTACAGATTAATAGCAGAGGTTAAGCCCACCGTCCACTTTGACACTGGTTGGCAGAGTTAGCAAGGGAAGCCATGCTGGAAGCAAAGTTTAGGGAGAGCTATAGTACAACTTGGCTATTATTAAAACAAATATGGTTTGGGTTTTATTTACAGCCAAGAAAGAAATGTTTTCTTCTCAAATGCTCAACAAACATTCAAAAACAGCATCTGATATTTACAGTTCATATTAGATTTTTAGTACAGAAAAATGGTAGACGCCAAGAGTCCTTTGGAACTATCCTCATTAATATTATGACTTTGGAAAAGAGTATGTAAAGAGTTCTAAATAAAGACCAAGCCATACAGTCGAGATGTATTCAAACAGAAACGTCACTTACCATGTTTGAATACTCCAATTAAGAGGGATTTGTCTGCTTCCTTATCCCACCAATCTGCAGGAACTTCAGCATGGAAAGGTTCAGGGATCCACACATCGGCTTCACTGAAAGACAACATTTATAAGAAATATTAGTATTAAAAAAGAATTCCAAGTAATGAATGGGATTACATGGCTCACGTGCCCTCTCTCCCACAATAAACATCTGAGCATGGTGGGGAGGTATCAGCAAAGGTAAAAAGAAAGGGCATGAGTCAGTAGCCCTCTGCTATGACCAGAAATGAACTTTATCACATGGTATCCCATTTTAAGGGTCATCTCAGAACACCAGTGCTTTAGTTCGCACCTCTTTACACTACAAACATAAATACAAACAGCCTTTTCCTGATTCTCATCACATCCCCAAGCAGGAAGGACAAATACCGCATTCAAGATGCAAAAAAGGAGATGGGTTACTAGTGGTTTACGAAGGTTCTGAAACACAATCCATGATGTTTTCCGGCTACCCAGATTATCTCACTGAGGTTGAGTACAAACGTGAGCTCGCACTAACCTTGAGTCAGCACCCTCTAAGATCTTATCTGCCTGGTCTCCTATCACTTCTTGTCTTAGGTAGTACAGCATGCGGACACGCAGCAGGACCCTGGAGAGGAAGACAGAGGGGGGAAAAAGTTCTTAACTTCAGGACTGTTTGCCAACAGTGGCTTTTGGCAGCTGCTGCTGTTCATCCATCATCCTGCCAAGGCTGATTAGCCATGCTGTATGGTAGGCTTGAAGCGTGACAGATGGTGGCACATAATCACCTCTGTGTGGTGCTTTCTGCTGGCTTCCAACAGGCCTGCCTGGCAACCGCTCACACTGCACAGAGAGGGCCCAAGCTCAGCCCAGCCCAGGCGCACTTCATTTAGTTCTACCTAGTGCAGCTTGTGAAGTTTAGACACGTACCCTACCATTGCCTCTGAAGTATTGAAGCAAGTTTGTAAACAACTGAGCAGATGGCTTTCAGTAACTGTTCTGCTTCATTATCTCATAAAATTTCCTCAGCTGCTGCCTTAATACCATTTTTGGAAGCACATCAGAAGTTGTAGGAATAAACGAGATATAAAATCTGGTTTTACTACCTTACAATAAACCCTCAATATGGAATGTCAGGTTTTTCAGATTATACAACTTTGCTTCCGAGAAAAGAAGATGGCGACAGGGTTGGGTAGAAGGTGTGTCCTTGCTCTTCTCCTGTATGAAATACTATGTTAGACATTTTTATTCCTTCTAGTTTTTTGTACCTGGGAACTTAAGTTGTAGTAGCTTGAAAAAAAAATTAGAAAATTAAAATGTGTCCAATTCATTGACATTCTTAATCATTCTCAAGAAGTCGATTTTTTAAAACGCTTGGAATTCTAGGAACTAGATTTTCAATCCTGCTTGGAGTTCCTCAATGGCTAAAACATAATTCTTTCAAGAAAGTCCACCTGGTAAGTCCCAAAAGCCAGTGTCTGCCAAAGCTAGTATCCCCTGCTGGACAGCCCTGGTGTGCATTGGGGACTGACAGGTGAATCGTGGCCTTCTTGGCCATGAGTACATGATAATACAAATGTTATTTCCCCAGCTGAGTAATCCCATCATGTACTTGTACAGCACTTTACAACCAATGTCTCACACTTATACTAGCCCTTTTGATCTTCACAATAACCCTATGATGAAGCAGGGCAAGTTATAATTTCCACTTTCAAATGGGAAAACTGATGGTAGCAGAAGATAAGTGACAAATCCAAGGCCACAGAGTTACCTTGCACATGGGACAATTGGAACTAGGTCTTCAGGCTCTACTACACCATGCTGTTTTCAGGGTGTGGAAACTGTCCCTAAAACTTCAAAATAACAACTAGGATTCACCACAACAGACAACTCCCGATCACACATCAACAGATGCTCCCCAATAGGCCTTTCCCCAACCACGATCCTACTCATGGCCAGCATGGGTTCTGGATAGGTCAAGCATGAGCTTGTAAATCCCTGAAGAGATTCACTTTGGATAACTCATTTCTATTTCTTTAGATTTTTTTTCTCTTGTGAACTCATGAGATTAAACATTAACTGTGCCATACTGAACAGACATTTTCTAAGAGTGTGGGTGGGGTAGGATTTTAGGGAGCACTCTTATGCCACAGCAGTAACCACCAAGTTTCTGAGACACCAAAAGGGTTGGAGGTAATGGTTCTGAAGATGCCTTGGAGCCTCACCACAGCTCTAAGGAGCAGAGAAGACTTCCGAGCTGGGGCTGCCCTCATCTACTTGGGTTCAAACCTGGTTCTGCCCCTTAACTGGCTGAGGGTCCTTGAGGAGGTTACTCAACTTTAGTCTCAGTTTCCTTGTCAAGTTAAATGGGGATAAAAGTCATACTAATCTTAGACAACTCAAACAGATAATCCATACAAAGCGTTTGGCACGCTGCCAGTGTCATGTGCTCAGACTTTGTTGCTGCTACTTTTACAGAAAGAAATGCATACTTATTTACATCCTGCCTCATCCAGCTGAGATCTTGCTGCCGAGGTCTACTGGACTCACCAGGAAAGTGAGTCCTCAAGAGGCTGAATAACTTGCTCAAGGTCACACGAAGCTAGGACATAGAGCTGATCAGTAGCATTGTTGCCTGAACTAGTGATATGGAAAAACGCATATTCAGAATAAGGAAACAACATATGCAGATGTTAGTTTAATAGGAACTGTTAACAGAACTCCAAGCAATGAAATAAATTTAGGTTCAATATTCTTCAATTATCTATAATCAGTTTTTGGAAATAAAGGTAAGAAATATGATTCTAAGCTCATAGGCAGAAAAAATGGACCCAGCAACTGAGGTAATATTAAGCAAAAAATAATACATGAACTCCCCAATCCTCCCTCCACTGTATGCAGTTAGTTGAAGGTGGGATCATATAATGCTGACTACAATTATCTAACAGATACTGGTTAAAAACCAGTCCTCTACAATGTTCATAGCACCATTATTCACAACAGCCATGATAACCAGCCCAAGTGTCTGTCAACAGATGACTGGGACAAACAAAACGTGGCATATACACACAATGGAATACTATTCAGCCATAAACAGGAATGAAATTCTGATACCGTAACACAAATGAACCTTGAAAATATTAAGTGAAGTAAGCCAGGCACAGAAGGACAAATAATCTGTGATTCCCCTTAGGAGACATATAGGACAGACAAACTAATAGAAACAGAAAATAGAATGGTGATTGCCAGGGGCCAGGCAAGTTACTGTTTAATTGATACAGTATTTACATTTGGGATGATGGAAACATTTCAGGTACAGTATTGTGAGTGTAATTAATGCCAACGAATTGATCACTTATAAACGGTAAAAATGGTAAATGTTGTGTTGTGTATCTTACCATGTTAAAAAATAATCAGTCACCTAAACGTATGCTCTCCTGTAACTTGACACCACATTTCAAGAAAAATGGTAAGGCTGTGCAAAGGCAACAACTACACCATTTAAAAGTCTTAATAACAGAGCTGTCCCTCCATATCCACAGAAGTATGGTTCCAGGACACCCCTCAGACACCAAGATCCGCAGATGCTCAGGTCCCTCAGTTGGCCCTCCAAATCTGCGAGTTCTGCATCTGCAGACGTGAAGGGCCAACTGCATGCATTTTTTAAAGAATAAAAAGGGAATTAAACTCTCCAGGTCCACCCTCTAATAACATACTTGTTACAGTGATGCTTCAGGTGTTTCTTGTAGCTGTCCTCCTGGAACAGGGCATCTGGGTTGCAGCTGGCCAGCCAGTCGGCATCCTGCACCACCGGCTGTGTGCTCTGGGCTTTCACCTTCTTTCCCTTCCTTCCCCTTGGCACAGGGGCTGATAAACCTAGAATCACCATCATAATAATAATAGAAGCCTTTTACATTCCAATTATAGTGTCAATGGCAGAAAGGCAGGGAATGCACGAGGCAGGGAAATACGGGGTGTATGTCACATCTCTTTATCAACAGTGTGTCACGAAGGATCCTGATGGCTTTGTGACCCTGTAGCACAAACAACATGGCGGAAACCTACCAGAATGGTTGACCAAGGCTCGAGTCTGGCCATCCGCTGTGGGTGTGATCAGATCCCAGATGAAGCTTTTGATATTCTCATCGCCTTTGTAATGATTAAGACAGTATACCAGGATGGTTCTGCAGATAGTTTCGACATCTTGCTCAGTGAGCTGGCGTTTATAGCGTCCGTGGGAAAGAATGTCTGTCCACCGTCCCCAACTGCAAAGCAAATATTTAGCATGCAGAGGTGTCTGTGAGTTTTGATTTACGGCTTTACTTTAACAGTCAGGTACCAGTGTTGGGAAATCCTGGGTCAAAACTAGCAACAATTCACACTGGATGATAGGAAAGCAATCCAGGGTGCAAGAGTTAAAAATACTCCCTTACACAGCAAGCTGCCCCTCAGTTCACTGCTCCTAAGCACAGGAGTTGAACTGCCACAAGAATAACCACCACAAAGCTAACCTTGGCTTTTCCAGGTACATGCAGGCTGCGACAGTGCAATTTTTAGGACATGAGTTCAACCGAGGGCCTGGAAATTACAGACTTTGCTTCACACTGTCATGATTAGTACATTTTGATGTTGACCAACCATCTGAGATAAAAGGCAACTCAAGATAAAAGGTGTGACTACCCCAAAATCAAGGATGTGATGCTGAGCAGTATATGGCTGCATTGACCCACCTCTAAGGGGATGCCACAGTCACTGGTGAAAGGTTCTGGAAAGTTCTGAGGTTCCTTTTGAAACGGGGAGTAATAACCCCAAGCATAAGAACCCTCACAGGCAAGATGTTCTGCCAACCCTCAGATCCTCATGAGAAATGAGTGGGAGAAAGGACTATGGACAGAAAACAGAAGCAAACAGACAACATGACATGGGGCCTGACTGCCTGTTTCGTGTTATAATCCCAGACTAAACAGTGCTGTGCTGTTTCATCTGGGAGCTGTGGGGTAAGACCACACAACAAATAGGTACGGGGGCAGGCAGCAGCAGGTGCTGTCTGAGCCATGTCTTCTCCCAGGCCACAGCAGACTGAGCCACCAAGGCAGTGCTCATGGTATGAACAGCCTCTCCGCTGCAGACTGAGAGTTGTGTCTGGAGCAGAGAGCAGCTCACATCCTCCCTCAGGCCTTGCTTCTCACCCTGACTTGGTCTCTTGTCACTCCCTGGTCCTCTCTGGCTCCTGTGAACTTCTTGAAGTTTCTCCAACTACAAGGCTAGCTCTCACTGATGGCCTTGGAACACACTGCTCTGTCTGCTGGGATCTCACTTCCCTTCCCAGCCAAATTCCAGCACTCCCTCTTACCCTGGCTGATTTGTGATATCCATCAAGTCACAGGCTGTGTGACTTTTTGTGGAATTCCTCCTTTCACTCCTCCTAACCCCAGAGGTGGGGAGACAACACTGGAGCTGTGTCTTAACAGTGAGCTGACAGGCTCTATGCTCCACAGCAGAGTGCTTCCTTGTCACAGTATTGTCACAGTCTGCACCACTTCTGCTTGCTCACCTGCCTGCCTGAGCCATGACTGTTTTGCTCAGAGCTCCACCCCAAGTGACTGAGAGGATCCTAGACAGTGACCAGCACATAGGTGTTCAGTACATAATGACGACTATGGGAAGAGGGAAGGACCTGACTGAAAGACAATCTGTGCTAAGCACACTTCTTAGCTGTAGGAGTTATTTATGTGTTCCATTCCCAAAGTTACCCACAGAACTCTCAAATCGGATGATTGTGCTGAAACATGGCAGCAGGCGAGGGTAGCAAAAGGCTTTTGGGGGGCAGGGTGTGAGTCTCTGCCCCATGTAAGAAGAGACAAGAGAGGATGCCCAGCTTGCACAGATAATGAGGATAGACTTCTGATGAACAAGCATTTATCAGCACTATGTGTCTGCTCACACTGCACTACGCACTGAGGGCACAAAGAAGGAGCCTCCATCCTCAAGGAGCTGCAAACAGAATCTAGCAAAAGAGGGAGGTGACTCAAAAATCGTAAACAACATGAGTGTGATGGGAAGTATAGGCCAGACTCGGTTGCAGAGCACAAGCTGATGCCTGCATCGGATACCCACAGAGAGCAGAAGGGAGGCAGGTCACCTCCCAGTGGAGGTGCACGTGGGGGGTCCTCTAGGCAGTGGGAAGAGCTTGTGCAAAGACACAGATGAGATGGAGCGTGGCACATTGAAGGAGATGAAGCCGTCTGTCCTAACAGAAGCTTGCACTGCCCATGGGAAAGAACCAACAGAAGACAAGGGCCTAGAAGAGCTCTGGATGCCATGTCAGCATATGTTTGTGTTTACTCTGAAACTAATGGCAATCCATTGGAAGAAATCATCCAAGACAGGATGTCATCAGATCTGTAGAAAGGTTACTCTAGTAGCAGTTTTTTTTGTTTGTTTTGTTTTTTTAACAGGAGTTGCCTATAGTCCCACAATCTGCTAGAGAACTCTTATTGACCGATTCAGATATTTACTGAGCACCCTGCCATTCGAAGTACTGCTTCGGGCGTCACAGTGATTCAGAGATAAATTAGACATGGATCCTGCCTTTCAGAAACTTGTAGTCCAGCAGGAAAAATACAACACTTTCACAAAGTTCAAATGACCATTCATGGTTCACATGAGTTGCAAGGAAGAATTTAACAAGTGAGATTATTGTCTTTGACAATTTTTTATAAGAGAAATATTAAAAGCTTACGACAGTCACAAATTTTATGCAAAGCTTGTAAGGTGAGAAAAGATTTTGTAATTTTGACACTTTGTTCTTATTAATAATCAACATGTAAATCTGGACCTGGCATAATTCCTTAAGGTACACACAAGCACCCTAACTTCAGGTGACCTCTGAATCCAGAAGCATCTGAACAACTTAGATTATGTTAACTAAATGGCTTCAAAGCCCTGTAAAGTTACTGCAGAAGCATTCATTTGACTGTGCAAGGGGTGTCACACAAATTCGAACACAAATATAGCTCTATACCAGTTGGGAATTCTAACTATCGTTAGAACAAAATTCCATCTTACACAGTGAGTCCTACTTACCCATAGACAAGCAGATTCTTCTCCACCCTGAAACACTCACTCCTTGCATAGCCCTGTGACTTATCCTGGGGGCGCCGTGGCTTTGCGCAGGGCTTTTCTTCAGAATCACTTTCCAAGTCTGAGAACTCCATCAGCTCATCTTCCTTCACTGCACTGTAGAGCCTGGTCTGCTTTCTCACTCTTGGAGTATCAATAACCAGGTTGTTCTAACAAAAGAGGAGATAAATTTGAAATTTCTGAAAGAGTGGCTCTTGGTTTAGATCAGATAGGTGTTTGAATGGGACTTCTTACTCACCCTCCCATTTAAGGCATCAATATCCAATTCAGCCTTCTTAGCCCACTTTTGCCAGAAATTTGGATCATCCAAGGAAATATCTGTCCTATTTCCAGATGCAACAAAACTGGCCTACAGAGAAAAAAGAAACACATTACTTTGAGAGATTTTTCTCAGAAGTAGAATGTAAAGCAGCTTTTGTTTATTCATTTGCTCCAACATTGTGCATTCCTCCACTTGTGCTAGATACTACAGTAGATGGGACTAGAATGACAGACTGGCCCTCAGGCAACTGACTGACCAGGAGCTGAGACCAAACCAAAGAATTACACTGCAGCACGATAAATGACAGGGAGCAAAGGTATAGACCAGTGCAAGTGAGGAGGGGCCCCTAACCTGGTTCAGGTGGGGCGTTGCTGGAAACTGAGAAGAAAAGGCTCTCCCATAAAATGATGCCTGAATCATTTTAAAATATTCATAAAACAGGAAAGCATGTGGACATGTTCACAGCAGAGCATGTGCCATGGCACAGAGGAGAGTAAAGGGGAAAACGGTAGTCAGGGAAGAAGAGCCAGAGGTCGAGCTGGTGAGGGAGAGGGAAGCTAGGTGAAGCAGTGTCTTCTATGTGTTGTTAACGGAGTTTGAACTCTATCCCGAGGGAACCAGGGACTATTTGAAACTGGGAATAATCTCATTATGGACACAATCATATCTAGAGTCACAAGTTGGAAAGGTCATACCAATGCTTGGAGCATGGAGGTCAGAACACAGCAGAAGAGGCCACTGTAATAATTTACAGAAGAAATAACAAAATGGAGAAAAGAAGGTGGTTTAGAAACATATTCTTTAGGCCAGGCGTGGTGGCTCACGCCTATAATCCCAGCATTTTGGGAGGTCAAGGTGGGCAGATGGTTTGAGGTCAGGAGTTTGAGACCATCCTGGCTAACACGGTGAAACCCCATCTCTACTAAAAATGCAAAAATTAGCCAGGCATGGTGGTGCACGCCTGTAATGCCAGGTACTTGGGAAGCTGAGACAAAAGAATCACTTGAACCCAGGAGGAAGAGGTTACAGTGAGTTGAGATTGCGCCACTGCACTCCAGCCTAGGCAACAAAGCAAGACTCTGTCAAAAAATAAAAATAAAATAAAAACAAAGAAATTAAAAAAAAAGGAAACATATTCTTTAAAAGGTAAAATTCTTGGGAAGCTGAAAGTGGAAGGTGACTTGAGCCATGTGTTCAAGTCTAGCCTGGGCAACACAGTGAGACATCATCCCTAAAAATAAAAAAGGCAAAATTAATAGAGTCAGAATCTGGGTGTATGTGAAATATGAAAGAGGAAGCCAGGAAAAACCTCAGCATCCATTTCAGGCATCTGAATGATGTCAGTCAGGTGGACAAACAGAGATGGGGGTAGGGGGAGAGACAGGGATGGTAAGTTTGGCTGTGCACATGTTGAATACACAGTGCCTGTGAGCTCTGAGAAAATAATCTGACATAAGGCTGAAAGATGTAAGGGAGAAGATGTGGGTCTCAAAGCCCACAGGAGAAGAGCCTTTCCAGATTGGAGGAGCTGGGATAACTGGACAGCCACATGCAAAAGGAAGGTTGGACCCCTACCTCACACCATACACAAAACTCTATTCAAATGGAATCACAAACCAAAACGTAAGAGTTAAAAACTATAAATCTTGGAATCTAAGTTATGCTAGTGAATAACATTATGCTAACTGAATGAAGCCAGACACAAAAGATCATATACCATATGATTCCATTTATATGAACTGACCACTGACCAGAGTAGGCAAATCTGTAGAAAACATAAATCTCTGTGAGCTTGGGTTTGACAATGCACTAAAACACAAGCGATAAAAGAAAAAGATGGTAAACTGGGCTTCATTAAAATTACACGTTATTAAGAAAAGAGTAGGAGAAAATATCTGCAATCATATTAATACAGAACTTTCATACAGAACATATTTTAAGTCTGAAATATTAATAACAAGAAACTCAAAAAATGAACAAAGAACTTGAATAGAATTTTTTCCAGAGATGATCTACATCTGGCCAATAAGCACATGAAAAGATGCTCAATATCATCAGAGAAATGCAAATAAAAACAAGAGTGGGATATGACCTCACACCCATTAGAATGGCAAAAACTAAAAACTCAGATAATAAAAAGTATTGGGGAGGATATGGAGTTCATTTCCTCCATATCCTCATCTATACTTCTTACTATTTGACTTGGAAAGAAAACAGTACAGTCACTTTAGAAAACAGTCTGGCAGTTCCTCAAAGGGTCAAACATGAAGTTAACATAGGACCCAGCAATTCTACTCCTGGTATATACTCAAGAAAAATGAAAACAAGTCCATACAAAAACTTGTACACAAATATCCATAACAACATTCTTCATAATAACCAACAGTAAAAACAACCCAGATGTCCATTATCAACAAATAAATGTGGTATACCCATAAAATGGAATACTGTTCAGCAATAAAAAGGAATGAATTACTGATTCATACTACAATATGGATGAACCTGAAAAACATTATGCTAAGTGAATGAAGTCAGACACAAAAGATCATACATCATATGATTCCATTTATGTGAACTGTCCACTGCCCAGAGAAGGCAAATCTGTAGAAAAATAAAGCAGATTCATGCTTTCCAGATATGGGAGACTGGTATGGATAGAAATAGGGAATGACTGCTAATGAGCATGAGGACCTTTCTGGGGTAATGGAAATGTTCCAAACTTAGATTGTGGTAGTATGTACTCACGTCTGTAATATGGTAAAGGCATTGAATTGTACACTTAAGACAGGTTAATTGTATAGTCAGTTAATTACATTTCAGTAAAGCTGTTAAAAATAAAAGTACAGAGTGGGCCTCAGTGAGATGGCTAGAACAAAATGCAGGCAAAACCTCAGAAGGGGCTCTCAGGTGGAACCACTGGGTGTACTCAGTGGTGACCCTGGCCAGAGCAGCTGACAGAGAGGCAGGGAACGGGTGCAAGCTGGAAGCTGAAAAAGCTGAAAAATAAGTAGAAAGGGAGACAGCAGAGACAGCTGGAGTAGATTACGTTTGTGTGGATTTTAGCTCTGAAAAGAGTTTATGTATGGAGACAGAGTTAAAGGGGAAAATAGTGGACAGGTGTTTTTAAAGGAGTGAGTTGATCATTCTTACAGGCTGTTTCAGAAACCAGAATCTGGGGAGAGAAGGAAGATGCCAATGGAGCAGGATCTCAGAAGTGGAGAGGATGGAGTCAAGAACACAACTGAGGGATTAGCCTCAGGAGCTGGGAAGTAGATACAAGGATGACAAGGCGAGGGCAAATACCAGTGGCAGGTACACAGAAGAGAAACCAAAGCATAAAGAAAGCTTCATGTGCCAGGGGTTCCACAGGGAGTTAATGATTAATTTGATTAATTCCCAATGCATCTTGTAAGCACTTTTACAAGGTACTTTTCACATGAACTCTGTTATGTTTCTATGGAAAACCTGGCCTTTTCAGATCGATTCACACCTTAGCAAATGTGGAACCTTTCCCTTCCGACTCAATGGTAATGGTGTGGGTTCGACGTAGGAGGATCTGATCAATATCTTCTTCACAGAATTTAGACCCTTCATCCTCCTCATCCATGAGTGCACCATAGGCCCCTTTTCGTAGAAGATCCTCTATTTCTTTCTTGGAAAGCTGTTGTACCTGTTTTGGAGAAATATTTAAAATACTCAAAATAATTTAGAATTAAAAGGTTTGTAGACTAAACAAATGCTGCATTTTTCTCAAAGAGAGTAAACCTAAATTATAACAAAAGAGTTACAAAATACACTTAAAATATTGAGGTCGAAAAATAAGCAAAAGCTGAGTAATTTTTTACAATTAGTTAAATAAAGAAAAGTGCCAGAATAAATGAATGGTTTGGGCAAGGGTGGTTTTACCCCATTGGTAGCATTTTCTCTTCCACTCATAGACTGTAGCACAGCTTTATCCAGCCCCAGCTTCAAACTAGCCTTGTCAAACATTTCCCTTTCATAGGAATTTCTTGTAATCAGCCTGTAGATTTTCACAGATTTGCTCTGTCCTATTCTATGACATCTAGCCTGAGCCTGGAAGAAAAATGAAATTAATAGTTACTGCAATGAACTGAATGTTTGTGTCTCCCCACCAAATTCATATGCTGAAATCCTCATTCCAATTGTGATGATATTTGGAGGCGGGGCCTTAGGGAAGTAATTAGGTCATGAGGGTGGAGTCCTCATGAACGGGATTAGTGCTCATATAAAGAGACGAGAGAGCTAGCTCTCGTTAAGCTGGGTGAGGACACAGCAAGATGATGACTGTCCGTAAACCAGGAAGAGGGCCCTCACCAAGAACCTGACTCTGCTGGCACTCTGGTCTTGGACCTCCAACCTCCAGAACCGTGAGAAATAAATGTCTGCTGTTTAAGCCAACCAATTTATGGTATTTTGTTAAGGAGACCTGAGCTAAGACGGCTACCAACGAATGACAAGACTCAACTGCCAGTTATAAGACCCTATCTATGTGCCAATAAATAGAGGTGCCATTCAGAAGAAGGTTAAAACTAAAAAATTTCTTCTCACATTATTAATCAATAGGTTACTAGTTGGTTACTTGCTCTGAGTCATAGGACACAGCCTGAGTGACAACGCAACACTAATTTATGGGTCTGACTGGGACTCTCTGTCATAGTAAGCAGAATGACTTCTTTTTTAAAGGCATCAGGACTTTCTTGTGCATTTACCTGGAGGTCATTTTGGGGATTCCAGTCTGAATCAAAGATGATGCAGGTATCAGCAGCAGTGAGGTTAATGCCTAAACCTCCTGCCCTTGTACACAGGAGGAAAACAAACCTATCAGAATCAGGTTTGGAGAATCTGTCGATAGCTGCCTGGCGGAGGTTGCCTCTTACTCGGCCGTCAATCCTTTCATATGGGTACCTAGAAATCATCAGTGTGAACAAGGAGGCCTGACACACAGCGTCAACATACTTGCTCCTTCTTTAAAATTTTTATTACAATATGGAATATATATTTAAAAGACTAATATGACTTAACAGAGCTAATCTCAAAGCAAACAGGGTTTATTGGAGTTTTTTATATAATTGATTGAATGATCAAGGATTAAATTTTATTTTACTTCCTCTCCAGGGAAATAGCTAAATTCTAAAAACAGCTGACACCTATAACAGTAAGATAACAAATAATTTCAATTTCAAGTAAGAAATATTCTCCCTTAGTCAAATAAAGGCAATGGGGAAATAAAATTGCCTAAAAACGTATGCAATGTCCTCCTGTAGTCATCATATAAAATAATCATGTACATCTATAGTTTTAAAAATGACATGTGATACATTTTCCCCATTCTATCCCCTTTATCATAGATACCACTTTTAGTGGACTGCTTGGAACCCTGTGAAGGTAATTTTAGATTTCCTTTTTATTATTCTGATATGGTGGCCCTCACCGTCTTTGAATGAGGTAGTCTTCCAGTATGTCCAAGCAGCGCACCATCTGGGAAAAGATAAGCACCCTGTGGCCACCAGCCTTCAGTTTTGGCAGCAGCTTGTCAATCAGCACTAGCTTGCCAGCAGCCTGGATCATTGCCTGGAGCTGAAAATCTGGAGACTCTGCATTGTGTGTTTCTTTAAACTCTTCCAAAATTTTCTCTTCAGCACCTGCAGAGATTGGACAGCATAACGTGAATACTGTAAAAGGTTTTTATTACTAAAAACAATGAACTTGCTTTCAAAATCCATTGCAAACTGTAGGAACCAGAACACCAAACTCCTGCTTATGAACAAGAATCCATCCACTTACTCATACTTGGGTCTATACAAAACTGTGGATGCACAAAAGGGATAAAAGTTTTAAGCATAACACATTGAGGCATTTAGGGGGAAAACCACATTTTTCAACAAACAAATGTTTGCTGTCTGTAAAAACGGAATTTCAACAACAGACTGTCAAGCCAGAAGTGGCAGAAACAAGCCAAGGGCCAGATACCTACAAAAAATTTGGAACCTAAATTGCTAAAGAAATGAAGAAATGTTTACTAGCTGAACATAAACACAAATAACAAAATCTGTTCCGAAATGAAAAAACAAAGGAATAGAGTCCTAACAATTACAGCGTAAGAGCAGTAGTAGTTTGGGTCTACAATTGCATATTAATATAGGCAAAGGAACTACAAAAAGAGGAATTTACTTCCAGGATAATTTCTTGGAATATCTACTGGGGACCTAAGCATACATCTATTGTAATCTCTAAATCTCCCTCCACATTCATTCTCATCTGGTAATTTTTCCTAAGATACAAAATTCTATCTTGAACTATCCAAACCTCTTAAAATTAAAAACAAATAAACTTTTAAGTGTTTGACAGAAGACTTCTATGCTCAAACCCTTCTTTTCTCCCTCATAGCCCCACATGGATTTTTGCTGATCCAAAGACTAGGGTACATTGGCAAGAGGCCTCAAGAAGATGACATCTTCCTAAGGAAAGATGCCCCACCACATCCCTGCCTGACACACGCTTATTCAGGAAGCAGCAGGCTAAGCTTCCTTCAACTGCTTAGGTGGCTTAACTAGAATTACGCAGCATTGGTCTGGCCTCCTCCTGCCTCTGGGGTTAATCAGGACATAGCTGTTGTGTTCAGCTCCTTTCTTTGAGGGTGGAGGATGTGTTCAACTATTCTTTAGAAAATACAAACACACACATTCATCTTAATGGGATGGTCTCCCAGACTTTAACTGTGCCAGAAACTTAAAACTACCTTCCTACCACTAGTTTTTAACATGTGAACTAACTATACACAAGATGGGGATACATAAATCTCACAGAGGCTTTAAAGGTTGGGTTAGTGGGACAGGCAACCACAGCCTCTCACATGGTACTGCTGCAACAAGCACAGATGTAACAAAGGTGCAATCCTATCTGTACTTTAAGGTTGCATGTAGGAATTACCTTATGGCACGGTCAAATGCAGAAATACAGCTTGTTAATTATTAATCAACAAATAATTTACTGAGAACAGATTAAAGTCACTTAATGTCTTCCCAAGCACTAATGCCTTCCACAAAATACACTGACTTCCTATGAAGGGGGCCTGGTCCTCACACCTTTTTTAAAGTGAATGAAAAGGTAATATTCACAATTTTTCTTTAAGTATGGAAAATAAATGTAAGAGTAAAGAGCAAAATGCTGCTTAAGAGCATTAGCAAGAATGTTCTTGAATAAAGTTAAATATTTTTTAAAACATGAAATTTAGAAACCCAGGTTCTAGATTCAGGACAGGCCCCTCAAGAGACAGGGGAAACAGATTTAAGTGCACATGTTACATTAGGTCTCTTTCAAGTGTGTTCTTGTTGTACAATATACCATAAGCTCTGAAATTCAGAAATAAATTTAACTGTTACGTTATCTGGTCAACTATTTTTTGTCCATACTAAGTTAAAATCCACAATAATATAAATACAGTATTTTAGCCATTTAAAACAAATTAATGGCCAATGAATATTTTTCAAAAAGGAAATAATCATTTTGACAAAATAAACATCAGATATGTTTGGGTTTCAGTTAAAATTTTTTTAATATAAATAATTCGGTCAAATTTGCAGAGAAATTTAATTTTAAATTTATTCAGAGATTAAAAAAATAATTTTTGCCTTTTTTATACCACCAAAAAGAATAGTCCGAAAAAAATCCATTCTTTCTTACCTGACAAAAGCTACTGCTGAATTAATTAATTCAGCTCTTTGTTATGAATTCAGGTTCTTACAACTGGCAGCCAGTTTATACTAATAATATTTCATTCAAAAATAGTATCAGCAAACATCTTTCCTATATGACTGTCTTGACATTTTATTGTCGCAACATTGAAGGAAAGAGGGTGGGAAGAGTGTTGCGGAGGAAGGCAACTGCTACCTTCTGACATCATAGCTAAATTTTCAAGAATACTAATTAATGTTTGATACCCAATTTGTAAACATCAATCCAAAAATTAACTGGAAATGGGTTATGACAACCCAAAACACTTTGTTGGTTCCATCCTAAATTAATGTACGGCTGGTACTACATTGTAAAGTGTGTATATCAAAGACAACTTGAAACAAGTGTGCACTCACTTACAGCTTGAAGTCTTTTCACTTCAACAGATGGTCACTGTCGGGACAGTAACTGCAATGTCCTCTAGCTATATAAAAGCCACGAACAAACAAGAAAATATTTTGTTCTTGACGATTACCAGAAAAAAACAAGTTACTATTTTCTCTCTGAAATTCACTCCATCACGTAAGCCTCATTCTTGTTTTCTTTTTGCCCACTCTTCTCTACACGCCCCCTGCCTCAAACAATAACCAGCAATGACTCTTAAGTCAGCTCTAACCAGCAGGGTACCTTGGACATGTTTTCAACATTATTCTTAACTTCACATTACAAAACCGAGAAATTGGAAATTCCATTGAAATAAAGCTTGGGTCAATAATAGTAACTCCATTTATGTCACTCGGTTAGTTACCTTCACTTGCTTAACTTTCTTGCTTAACTTTTAGCAAGAAAACAACTAGCAGAGGACCTAGAGTGTGCCAGACACTGTTCCAAGCATTGAAGTAAAAATATTAAGGGTCACATTAAAAATATTGTCTCATTTATATATAGTTTGTGTTCTACCAACACTTCTAAACTTTTTTCCTTGTGCTGTGCTTATGTTACTTTCAACTCATACATATAAAATTGCTTCTATTTTTCATAATCCTGGAAATGTGTTTTGTTGAATGTTGATTGAGGCTTCTTTACTCTGCCACAACCCATTCAAATTTCAGTGTAATCTCCCAAATTAAAGAATTTCCTTTTAAATGCTGGATATATGTTTTTACTCCAGACTGTGGATGAAAATGAACAGTACTGGCCCTGGAGCAACCTCTACACAATACGATGTCTACGTAAGTTATCTGGGCAACTGCGTGCGCTTAGTTTGTAGGTTATCTATACTTTTTCACCTTAACTTCCCCAAATTTAGGAACAAGGACACCTGCTTAACAGACACTTCTTAACTTGTCAGGACAGAAAAGCTGACCTCAAGGTGTGACCAATTAGGACAACTGCCACAGATGCCAAGCCTTAGGGAGTCCTAAGGGGCTCCTGGCGAACAAATATGCTATAGAGAATGACCCTGGAAAGCAATCAGCAGAGGAAGAGACACACCAGCTGTGTTTTGGGGGAAAACAACCCACAATGTTCAATGCATATAATTAACATATGACCAAACAGGGTAAACTTGCTGGAACTGGGGGTGGCAATCTAACTACCATTGCTGAGATCTCCCCTTTCACACACATCCTGCTGGTAGCATTCAAACTCTTTTGTATCTCCTTTTCTTTTCTTTCCCCTTGGAGCCTATTATTTCTTTTCTTTTGTACCAGCTATTAAATGCAAACGCGTGTATGTGCACAGTGCATGCACACACGTGTCCTCATCTCGCTCCATCAGTTGCCCTAAGCTCTGTCTTGCCAACTCACGACCTGGCTAGTTAACACTCACCATAACGGTTGTACAAGCTCCTAAACATACTGTGATTAGCAGGTTGGCAGTATCAGATACATAATCATCACACAGGATACTCTCCTTAGAAGACAAAACTAAAAGCACAAAAAGAAATTCACTGGCTGGGCACAGTGGCTCACACCTGTATTCCCAGCACTTTGGGAGGCTGAGGTAGGCAGATCACTTGAGCTCAGGAGTTCGCTACCAGCCTGGGCAACATGGAGAAACCCCATCTCTACAAAAAATTAAAAAAAAATTAGCTGCGCGTTGTGGCGCATGCCTGTAGTCCCAGCTACTCAGGAGGCTGAGGTGGGAGGGATGCTTGAGCCTGGAAGGTCAAGGCTGCAGTGAGCCGAGATCATGCCTCTGCACTACAGCCTGGGTGCCAGAGTGAGACCCTATTCAAGAAAAAAAAATGTATATATATATATATATGTGTGGTTGTGTGTGTGTGTGTGTATATATATATATACACACACACACACACACACATATATATATAAATTCACTGATTCGTTGCACCACACAATCCCAGGTGCAACTCTCTGAGACTCTTCCAGGCGTGGACTACTCTGTCCATTAGAAATGGAGACTTCGGAATCTGGGGTGGCTGATGAGTTGTAAGTTATTAAAAGGGGAAAGATTAGACATTCTTTAAATTAGCTGTCCTTGAACCTCATAAACTGTGATAAAGACAGACCAGGTTGTGCTCCCTTTTCCTTGGAAAGGCATCTAATTGCACTGCTGGCCAACTATCATCGTGTACAAGTCTCCCAAATTAGCCTGCCACCACCTTTCTTTAACCCACATTAACTTCTGCCCAGAATACAATAGCCTCTGAGCCGGTCCTTCTGCTTGTCTGTCTTTCTTCCTCCCATCCTTTTTATGCAATGTTGCCTGACGCATCACCCTGAATCATATTTCTTATCAATGCTCAGCTCAAACACTAGTTGTGGTTCTTCACTGCCTGCAGAGGAGAGCGGAGGTTCCATGCACTTGCCTTTAAGGAATTCTGCAGCAGGGTCCAAGCCACGACTAAGGTGCATTTCTTATGTGTGCCTTTTACTTTGGGCAAGTTCCTCATTGTTTTCCTGATCCCCTCTCTTTGCTTGTATCATTACTTCAGCCTAAACATCCTTTCTTTTTCTAACTCTCCTGGGAAAATCCTTTCTACCCCTGCAGACTTGCCTTAAAAGGCCATCTCCTTCTAAAGACTCCCCCAATCTCAATCTCTCAGCTAACTGAAGACTGCTTGTGGCGAATGCTCCCTTCTTATTTACCTTTGTATTCTCCAGAGTATCTTATACAACATAAGCATGAAATATTTATCACCTTAATGATTTCCAAAAATGCATAATAAAGGTTTTAAGCCATGAGTTATATAACACTATCAATTTAGTTAAGAAAAGAGGAGGTCCATAAATTATCAAAGCTTTAAGTTAATCTTTTTGTTCTCAGAGGACAGAGGTGCTAGATGACTCTGGACTGAGAGGAAGATGAGGACATTTTCTATCAAAGGCTTGAGACAGCTGTTAGCTGTCTGCCCACACCTAAGTTCCTCTTTAACATCTCTGATTTAAATACACACACCCCAAGAAAACCTCCATTAGGGGTTAATTTCTCTTTGGCTGTTAGCACTTCAGATGACTTCTAGCCATGGAAAACTAATGCCTCTTTTCAAGCACAGGGAGGTAGGAGAAAGGCAAAGTAAGATTCCATTTTAGGGATTGCTGGGGCAATGGTCACTCGCCTTCAGCAAGCACAGAAGGAGGCATCACAGAAAGTGGGAAGCTGGTGAAATCCATGCTGAGTGGACAGGAGACAAGAATGACTATATACCATGAAATCCCCAGTCTGGGGGCAGAAAAGGATTTCTGGGCTTTAACCGTCACTTAAGCAAGTTTGCGAGCAGAGCAGGCTTACCATTGATAAGGTACGGATGATTGCAGCACTTCCGCAATTCCATCATAGTGTTTAACAGGTTAGGTACGTTAGCTTGCCCACCGCCTTTGGAAAGAAATGTGAAATTCTTCTCAAGGATGGCTCGGTAATACTTCTTCTGAATATTTGTTAGCTCAACTTCAATAATAGTTTCTTCTTTGGGGGCCAAGTTCTTTTCTACATCCTCTTTGAGACGTCTCAACATCATTGGCTTTAGAATAGCTTGAAGTTTTTGCACCTAAAAAAGGACCTTAAGTAAATACTTGTGTCATGATTTGATGGTAAGTTAAAACATATTCTAACATGAAACATCAGGATTATCTCATTCATTAACCATCTATTTTCATTTTTCAAAGCCCAGTGAGAGAATGAAGGAGCTCATCTTTCAGCTTTCATAAGAGCAGTGCACGAAGGTTGGATGATTCTATGTCAAATGAACTATTTCATCCATCCAGGAGCCCTGAACAGCCAGAAGGCTTGAAAAGTACCCAGCAGAAATCCAACATATTCATGTAGCTTTCCCTTCTGTTTGCCCTAAGCCATAGGGAAGATGGAGAAGAGGGACAAGACAGTGTCATGGCAATGCTCTGTTTCTATTCTCTTCCTTTCTAGGCAGAGCTAAAGAATGAGAGGAAGTGAGCCAGGAGCAATCTAGTCCCTGCAGGAAGGAGCCAGTAGACACATCTCTCCCTGGTTCTCTTTTCTATTGATTGGCAGTAGAACTGAGTACTCCATATGGTTTTTATTTTAGAAAAGAAAAACAAAACAGACCTTACTCTGAACCAAGCTAAGAGGTTTTAGACAGTAAGTCAGGGGAGATGGCACATAAAAACCAAGATTTCACGTCTATCTCCACATTTATTTCAAATACAGCACACACATTATAACTAATACCCACATAACTCTTACAGCATATAAAATAGCCAAGCACTTTTTTTTTTTCTTTTTGAGACCAAGTCTCACTCTGTCGCCCAGGCTGGAGTGCAGTGGCGCGATCTTGGCTCACTGCAACCTCTGCCTCCTGGGTTCAAGCTAGTCTCCTGCCTCAGTCTCCACAGTAGCTGGGACTACAGGCGCCCACCACCACGCCCGGCTAATTTTGTGTATTTTTTTTTTTAGTAGAGATGGGGTTTCACCATATTGGTCAGGCTGGTCTCAAACTCTTGACCTCATGATCCACCTGCCTCAGCCTCCCAAAGTGCTGGGATTACAGGCATGAGCCACTGCGCCTGGCCCAAGCACTTTTCATACACAATACTTCATTTATTTCTCACAGAAATACTGTGCAGTGGTTATGCCCTAAGTTTCTAAAGTGAAAATATGTAGGCTTGAAGAAGTAAGCATTGTGGCTGAGTACAGAAGCTTCATAAAGAACAGAGACTCAAAACTGCAGTAGGCAAACAGCTCTATCACTGTCAGTGGCATCTGACATCATCCCCAAAACTACACATACATAGCAAAACTACCAACCTGCACAGCACAACTATCTCTGAAAATTATATCAACAGGTATGTAACCTCTCTATAAATCTCAACAGTCCTTCACAAGAGCAAACAAACAAATAAAGAAGAAAACCTTTATGATGATGACCTAGAAAGTCCAAGGAAAGGGTATCTAAGGTTCTGTGTACTAGGTGGGAAAAACTGTAATATAATCACACTTTAAAATAACTTAATATTTTGCTGTTTCATGGGCTAATCTTCAATTTTATGAGTGAAATACAAAGTAGAGGTGATAAATACCTGCTCTTCTGTTTTTAGATCACCAAATTCTTGCATAAATGTGGTTTCTGAAGGGAAGCGACTTGGTTCCAAGAAATGAAGCAAGCTGAAGAGTTCTTCCACAGTGTTCTGGAGTGGGGTTCCCGTCAGCAGCACTTTGTGTTCCTGAGGTAACGCAAGGAAAGCCACTAATCAAATTGTAACAAAAACACTTTCTTAACACCAGAGCCTCTAACTAGATATCCACTGTTCTACTCCTACTCATCTATCCTATGAAAAGTATAGGAATCAGGCATGAAAACAGAGATATTAGAACACGATTTCTGTGTCAGGTAAACAGATCTGGGGACAGTCCTCTCCAGAACTCTACAGGGTCCTTAAATGTGTCTTGCCATTTTGTTTCTTCCTGGAGTTATAGGTCAGTATTTTAGTGCCATGGCTTTTTAAGTCCCCAAGTCTCAATGCTTTTATCCCCACCAGTTAAGTTTTTTTCCTAGAATCCCTAGATTCAGATGAAACATGCATGCTTCTTTCTGCTCTCTACATCAACAGTGCTCTCATCTCTCCATCTGCTTCCTGCATGACTCACTTCATAGAGACAAAAGAAGTTCCACATGCAACAGCATATGAAAAACTATTTTGTTCTGCAAAAATTTCCAACTAGCAAAGAGGTCAACTTGGTAGTAAATACCACAATCACTTTTTTTTTTTTAAATCAGATGCTATTTATAAATTTGTCTCTCTGAACCAAGTTAGGTATTTCTTTAATTAATTCTTCCTGTTTACGAACTCTTTCCCCAGCTTTCCTCATGCAGTTGTACCCTGTCCTCCTATTTCTATATATGCAATACAGAGGAGCTGTTTTACAATGGCCAGTCTTAACAATAGTGAGATCTTAATCTTAAGAACCCTATTATTTTCTGCTTTCTCTGGCCATTTGGTACACAGCACAGCTAACAAAACTATTTCAGAAAGTAACTATACCTCCCAGTAGTTGAGAAAGCAATATTCTGACTTAACTCGGAACCTGAGAAGTCTTGGTTGCCAAGCAGAGTATACGCTCAGTAGATACTAGATGACGTAAGAACATGCTAATTTTCTTAATATCTACCATGTCATATCTGTCAGTGAAGCTCTTTGAAAGTGAGGTAAAGGAGTTCAATATGCTTGTATTCCTCCTTCTCTTCCCTTTGAATAAAGTCTCTGAGGCAGTTTCGTGGACCACCATCATCTTCAGACTCAGTAAATTCAAACACAGTAGGGATCAATCAATCAATTTTTTTCTAATGTACCACCACACTTGTGGATAGCCTGGGCCACAATCACTGACATACCCAAGTCCTGGATTACTGTACGCAAGAACTTTTTTTTAAGCCCCATCACATATCAGGAAAGAGTTACTGCAGTAGATGAGCTGTATTGATTATTGTGTCTCCCAGTTTTTTCATATCCTTTATTACTACATTAAATTAAATCTTGACTGCCTAACCAAATATTTTAAAAGTCAAAGCCTTTTTAACTTATTAATTTTAAAATAAACTTATTTGAAAAAAGGAAAGCACTCCTTTCTTAGGCAGCTTCCCTTCAATTATAGTTACACCAAATGATTATACACAAAATCCTTTCATACAGTTACCTACAAATAGTGGAATAAAATGAGGTATCAATTTGAAAGTGGGTAACAATTAAAAAATACACAATTACTATGCACAGTCTCACAAAACATCATGTAAGAAACTCAGGCGATGGAGCTTATCACCTTCACCTACGCCAGCAGATGTGCATGTGCTTCTGCCTTGACAACATTACTATTCTTTTTAGCTCCGATGAAGTGATGTTCATTTAATTTCATTTTAAGCAGACTCTGTGTGTCAGGTTTCCTGACAATGAAAGAGATACCAGAATCAATGAAGAACTACCATGACCTCCACAGCATCCCCTCCTCGTGGATGGGGGACAACGAGATGGCTGTTTTCCCAGAGCTCCTGTGGAGGACTGTGAAGACAGTGACTGCCCCTCAACGTATCATCTTTACAAACATGTCCTTGGTGCCTGCAGAGCTGAAGACACTCATTGGTCTTCCTTTCTGGGAATGCACTTGGAGATAATCCTTATCAAGCGCATTTTCATCGCATGTAAGTCTAGTGCAGGTAACAGCAGTTCCCTATGGCCTGTGCCATAGCTGGATACAGTTACTATCCACTATTTTGACTGTGACTTATTGTAGGAAAGAATAAAAAGTAGGAAGTGGCTAAGTTATCAAGATGCTTATTTTTTAAGTAAGGATTTAAAGACCAGACAACAAGCTGCTCGGAATTGGACAAATACAATTATATTCTGAACAACAATGTGTTCCATCTTGAAAACATTTCTTCTCAAATAAAAACTCCTGATCATTAGAAAAATAAATATTTTGTTCATGTGCTAATCAGAGCTTCCCAGTTGGTGCGCCAAGGATGAGTACAGGTTATAAGTCCTTGGGGAAGGTCAGGACACCCAGGACTGTTGGTGTCCCGTGGCAGTGGGCAGCCTACTGTTTTTACCCAAGTGTGGCATTCAACTACTACCATTCTCTGTATGTGCCATCATGTGAAAAAGCTTAAGAACACTGCAATATGTAATAGGAAAATTATTTGGATAACAGATTCTAATCCATTAATCAAATGTTAGTATAAATAATAGAAAACTCTTTGAACTAGCCCAAAGATTGTGGGAGGCTGTGGGAGGGATAGCATTAGGAGAAATACCTAATGTAAATGACAAGTTGATGGTAGCAGCAAACCAACATGGCACATGTACACCTATGTGACAAACGGGCACATTCTGCACATGCACCCTAGAACTTAAATTTAAAAAAAATAGCCCAGTGACAAACATACTGTTTGATATTGACAGAGTTAAATTAATGTGTACTCACCAATGAAAGAATGTTTTACAGTAAGAATCTACTATCTGGGAACACATGAACTAATAATAGAACACAACTCAGATAAGCTCAGTCAGATGACTGTTTAAGCCTTCAAGAAATGGTGACATAACTGTCTCTTAGTAGAAAACTATGAAGGTGGATCCCTACTGAGAAGATATATTTAGATTATATCATAAGCATTAGTGTTTACCTGCAAATACAAGTTTACTTCATTTTAATGCTTAAGTATCACCTGGAGTGAACAAATACAAACACAGAGTTTCTCTTTTCCATATGCTTACCAATGTCCCTGAAACTATTCACTGTTTCTAAGCACTCTCACTTGTTTTGTGGATTGGCCAGCAAATAACAGTCAACTGCTTTGAGACAGCTCTTAGGATAGCTTTAATAATAACTCATTAGGAAGAAAAATGGGAAATCCCATCCTAAATAGGATAATTCAGTCAGACTTTTTCCTTTAAGCAAAACTAGATTTTGTTTGTTTTAAACTAAAAGCAAAGCTGGCAAATCTAATCTCTTTAAGAATAAAATAAGCTGCTTCAGAGAATCAGCTGCAACAAAAAGCTTTTAGGTGTTTTTTGGTAATACCAGTCTTCAGCTAAAAATATATGGCCATGAATACATAGAACACTCCTTCTCATCTCAAACTCTCAGTTAACAAAAGATCAAATTAGCCTACAGAAATTAGCATTAAAAATATTTTAAAAACCTTTCTGTACTTCCATGAAACTCGTCAAATCATCCAAGGCATGCTAAACGACAGTAGCTTTGCTTTCAAAATGTACATTAAAAATAAAATATAAGTGATCATAACCACGATATAAACTATGGAGTGAAAAGAAGCCTGAGGATGACAGGTCATGTTGAAATTCTCACTAGGAAATCATACACACAGCAATATTAGACAGAAAATAAATTAAATCCTTCTACTCTTATGATATGCTATTCCATGATGCTCCTACTGAAAAAAAAATCTAGAAAATCTACTCAGGAAGACCTGATCATCTCTTGGGAAGCTGGAAAAGTATGGGACAAGCGTGGTATAAAACTCCAGATTAAATCTGAGGCATTGTAATGCCCCAAACTTCTAAGCATCTGTGCGAACTACACCAACCCCAGATATCCTACTCAACTCATTGAGAACTTGCATCTACAAGTCCTGCTGGCCACAGTATGACAAAACTTATGAGCCATGGAAAATAACTGGACTATCATCACTGAAGTAAAGCTTGGCCCAACACTTAATGAAATGGCAGTACAAGTTAAGTATCCCTTATCCAAAATTCTTGGGACCAAAGTGTTTCAGGTTTCAGATATTTTTAGATTTTGGAATATCTGCATTTATACTTACGGGATGAACATCCCAAATGAGAAAATCCAAAATCCGAAATGCTCCAATGAGCATTTCCTTTGAGCATTATGTGGGTACTCAAAAAGTTTTGGATTCTGGGATTTTTGTATTTGGTATGATCAACCTGTATTTATGAACAAAGGGTAAAACAAAAACTTGAAACTCACTTTAGTGAAGATATCATGATTACACTCTGCTATAAGACAACTGTTTAATAGACACTAGCCAACAATGTAAGAATCCAAAAGGCAACAACTTTTGAATAACTGAAAGTTCCAGAGAATATACCACAATATTTGACAAGCTTTTCAAATACTGTTTACAGGCATCAAATTCAGAGCAGTGGGACTATCAAGTCAGCAACAATTCTATTCAGGTTCAGTGCAGTCATCAATATGATCACTGACCAAGTCCATCATCTTGAGTCCCTCCAACAGCTTGCAGTTCCTGTTCTTCAGCCTGTGGGCTTCATCAATGACTACACAGCGCCATGGAATATTCCGCAGCTCAGGACAATCAGTCAAAATCATCTCAAATGTAGTGATGATGGCATGAAACTTATAGGACCCCTTTATCACTCGACCCTATAAGAACAACTCTGAATTATTATTAAGCATTAATGACTACATAAATAACTTTAAGGATGAATAAATAGCATAAACATATGTATTTATCCCTTTGGAGATCTCTTTATTTTAGGTGACATACATCTGTTTTCAAGTTATTTTGGCAGTTTTAAACTATATGGTAAAACAGAATTGTAAAACAAATGACAAAACTGTCAGTAAATTTTGGATCTAATCTCCTAATAGAGCACGTGCATCACTTACCACTAAGTATACCCATTCTAGTCACACATTCACATAGGACAAAATTTATAACAATTTCCCAAATCTAAAGATACAGACTTCAATATTTTTTCTCCTTTAGTTATTTAATTGTAGGTCAGATTTTATACTTAGAATACACACACACATCTATCTCTCTCTATATATATAAATATATATATATATATAGCAAAACATATATATATAGCAAAAGTCCTATTTGCAATTACAGGACTTCCATTTACTACCCATAACATAAAACTATTTTAGCATAGCTTATTCTTCCTTATCATGTCATTTATAACGCGTCACTGTTGATACACACTAATGGCATAAAGGTAACTAGAATAAGAAAAAATTAAAGCAATTGCTACTAACAGCCAAAGCATAAATTCCTCCCTTGGGATATATTTCATTCAATGTGTCATATATTTCAAGGACTTTTTACATCTTACTATTTTTCACTTCTAGCAATAGCATAATAAAATATTCTTTCTATTCACATTTAATATTACCATTTTTTGTTTAGTTTTCTCTTAGGCTTGCGAAATAAAACTAATTAACATATCAAAGCATTAAACAGATTTCAGTGATCATCCAAGGCAAAAAATTTCATTCTTTCTAATCTAATAATCAGAAAAACCAAAGCTATAAAAATAAAGGCTGTTTTTATAGACACAGATAATACAAATGTAAATTGAGTCAGATATCTAAAGCAAATTTCTCAATTTGGCAAAATTTAGGTCTTCCCAAGTCACCAAGACTTTGTTTTCTTTTAACACCTTAAAATGCACAGAATAAGCACACAGAATACAACCTGTGACAGTTTACCTGGGGATCTTTGAAGTACATTTCATACAACTGAATGGTCCGACGACTAGCTTGACTCCCATGATACACAACCACATTCAACTCTGTCCAGGTTCGGAATTCCCTTTCCCAGTTGGGGATTGTGGACAATGGGGCAATTACTAAAAAAGGGCCATGGATTCCTTTCAAATATATCTCATAGAGAAATGTAATGGACTGGATAGTTTTTCCCAAACCCATTTCATCTGCTAAAATGCAGTTTCGCCTTTTGGAGGAAAATAAAGTACAAAAGTTTAATGAGTATGGATATGAGACACTGCTGTCATTTCACAAAATATATACCATTGTACTCACAAATGCATACTCAAAGGCTTTAGATGTTCTCTTAGATTCAACAAAATATATTTTCAAACAAAATTCTCAAAGAATAAAAATTATTTTACATACTTATATCAATCTCTGTTTAATATTTGTTAAATAAATGTTACATATATTTTCAATGCTTTTTTAAAAAGTTCTTATTAGAGTTAAAACATTAAGTTCTTTTTTATTATTTTCAACAACTAAAGGAAAGGAACTACAGATATATTTAAAAGTGAAGAAAAACTTGTTTTACATACATGTTGTACCAATTGAAAAGTAGCCAGTTTACTCCCTCCAACTGGTATTCCCTGAGTTTGTTATTGTTTTTATACTCCCTGGAACTCTCCGATTTCTTCCAATCATCAGCAGGAGGTCGCTCCTGTTTCAAATATAGTAAATCCCATTAGTGGTTTCCCAAAGACCACACCACTATGCTATTTTCAAATTAAATTCTCTACCATCAGCCAATTCTTACCACACGCTCTGTTTCCGGCTCCCTGGACATTAGTTTCTCAAACTCCTCGATCTTTGCTTGATCTATGTCCTGCCTCCGCTCCCATGTGCTGTCTTCATAGGGAAGTGAACACCACTTCACCAGATAGTGAGTCACAGGCTGGACCAGATTTAAATAAATCAGAATTGGATTAATTTGACCACATACATACACACACACACACATATATGTGTGTATATGTATATATGTGTGTATATATGTGTGTATATACACACACGTTTATACCTATACATATATACATATACATGTATACTTACATATACATTAAGGAAAAGCATGCTCTACTTCATTTATCAATAGACATTATCCTGGCACGAGTAAGACTGAATTGACAGAAATTTTAAAACTATGGCCATAAAACAACTGTTCCTAGTTAAGAGTCTCAAGTCTAAACTGGAAACAGTATTACTGGGTATTATCAGAACAAATTAGCCTTTTATCAAAATCATTGGTAAGTGATGTTCGAAAGCCAGGAAGTATAAAGAAATAGCTAGTAAATAGTAAAGCTGAATTTGAGATTTTTTTTTTATCTGCACAAATCATTCATCAGGAGTTTGATTCAGACTTACATGGTAAATCATCTTAGCATATTTAAATGTTTACATAATTGGCTGGTTTCTTTAAAAATGAGACATACACTTAAATTTATTAGGATCTCTACCTTTTCCTTAAAAAGAGTGATACTGTTTGTATCCAATCATACTAAAATAACATATTTGAGCTTTAGAAGGGTGGAGCGCAAAATATTTCAGGTAATGCAGATCAACAGGATTTCCTTTGTCTCTCCTCTAGAAAACACTTGGGTTTGTTGATCTTCATTTCAGGACTAAAGTACGCTGACCTGGTCGTAATGTGAAAAATATTTGCTGTGCAATGTAAATATGCTATGAAACAATTTTTTGAAGTATAACTAAGGAAAACTAGAAAAGTAAAGATCATGTTACAGATATGGTCTTGGAAACATCATAGAGGGTCATGACACAGAGTTTGGAAGAAAATGGGAGTTCTTTGCAGACCCTTCCTAGACAAGCAAGATCCAAACACTGTATATATAAAATTCAATTTACATGGAGAAGCCAGGAAAGACAGAACTCATGGTGGGTGGGCACATCATTATCAAGACACAATACTCAGAAGTCACTACACTTGTGTTCATTCTTACTTCCCTATCAAATATCCCTTATAATCTCACAGAGTTTTGCAAAGCAAAATGAGAGTGTTGAGACTGGGATCTTTTAAGAGAAATAACGTCTGTTAGCCTCTGTGCACCGCATTAAATGAATTCATCAACTTCACTAATGATGCCCAATTCTAAATAACCTTAAACTCCATTCTGCCACAAGAGACACTCAATTATATAAGGATACTTTGTGCTACATGACAGAATTATACCAAAATGTACTGAATTCTTTATCATATTGTGGAATTGTGCAAAATGTCAATGTGTTTCTTTCATATTGAAAATCAATTTTTTAAAAAGCTCTCAGACTAAACATAAAACATATTTAGCACTATTATTTATTAAGTCATAAAACTAATAATAAATCATTAAATTTCAGTTAAATTTAGGCCAAGTGTGTCATAGTCCAAGGCTCTGACCAAGACCAGGTCTAGGATTCTACCATCTTCTCTATAAACATGTATGGGCTGCCTGAATCACCACTTCGTAATACAAATGATCTCCTGTTACCTCTCCCCGGTCATCTGTGCTACGTGCAAAGTCCATTATCCGGTCAACCTCCACATAATCTGGATTAAAAAGCTCATCCTCAATCTACACCAAAGGGGAAAAAAGAGTTAAACGTTTATTTATTTCCCAAGATGAAATACTATTCCACTTTTCACCAAGCAATAATATTTTGGGTCATAGCAATACAACACTTAAATTTGCCAAATTCTATTATATTAATTGAAATGCTACAATTTAGCAAAATCATTCCCCATGAGGAAATCAGACTTCTCAGACTTTGTTAACTGGGTCTTTTAATTACCGTGTGAAACCTTTTACTGTGAGAGAATGTTTAAGAATATTTTAAATGAAGTGTGAAATTACAATTCACTAATGAGCAATCCAAAAGGCTTATGGCATGCGATGCATTTAGCATTCCTGAAACTACAGTTTGCAATGAAGAATCAGAGTCATGCAAAGTAAGTGTTACTTGGAATCTCATAACTCCTGGAGTTGTCCGATGCCTTATAGCATCATTTACAAAATGTTATTCAAAAGCCAAATACACTGAAACCAGCTAATTTCATATTTTAGCATGATCAGAGTTTACAATGTTTGGTAGTATTTGTCAATCAATATTAGTACCTCATTTAGAATCACAGTCTTATCATTAATCTACGTTTTCTAATGATTTACACTGAATATAGTGTGTTTAGGTAAAAGTATTAAGGATAAAGAAATAAGGCCTAAATAATTGGCTTATTTAACCAATATATTAAATAATCTTACAAAAGTAAAGTAATACTGCTGCTTGCAAAGGCATCTCATATAAAAGACTAGAATTTGGCTCAAAAAAAAGTTATAGGCTGGGTGCGGTGGCTCATGCCTGTAATCTCAGGACTTTGGGAGGCCAAGGCGGGCGGATCACGAGGTCAGGAGCTCAAGACCAGCCTGGCCAACGTGGTGAAATCCCGTCTCTACTAAAAATACAAAAAATTAGCTGGGTGTGATGGCACGTGCCTGTAATCCCAGCTACTCGGGAGGCTGAGGCAGGAGAATCGCTTGAACTTGGGAGGCGGAGGTTGCAGTGAGCCGAGATCGCACCACTGCACTCCAGCCCGGGTGACAGAGCGACACTTTGTCTCAAAAAAAAAAAAAAAAAAGAAAAGAAAAGAAAAAAACGTTATAGACTAAGCCATACCCAAAAGAAGTTAGGGTCAGACAAGTTTCAGATGTTAGAAAACAAAAGACACATTTTATTATGTGTACCTCTCAATTAACTTATCAATAATATAACTGCATTAAAATATTTTGCAAAAGGCAAACTAGAAGTCACTTAGACACCATTCATATCCCTTGAATTGCAGGTTGAAAAGATAAGCAGTTCAGTCATCATCTGCTCAAGAGCAACAAACTGTCCCTGGCTACTCGGCCCTCTTAAAACATCCACTTGGGAAGCTTTGAACTGTGAATTATGAAACAGAAAGCAGAAACACAAATATATGTCTCAACTACCTCAGGCTTTTACACAGAGGTGATTAGTAAGGAAAAAAAAATCCATTGAAATGTTCAATTAATATAAAGTATTAGTATATTAATAGACTGGCTTTTCAAAAGCTTCTAGACTTAGGTAAACACACATGTTATCCATGTACAGCAGAAACACTTAAACTTTCTCAAAACCACGTTTTGATAGCAAAAATTCCCTCTAAGAAAACTTGTTCTTAAACACGAGCTTTCATAGTCAGTGCTGAATTAAAATCCTTAACTTTTCCTAAACATTTCTACCCTTTAAGTGAGCAATCTGCGGCATCACACATGTGATGAAATTTCCAGTCTAAATGATGTTTTTGAATAGAGATTTTTAGTTGCAGCAGGCTTGTAAGGCAGCCTAAGTAGAAACAAAGAAGTAAAAGCAGCTGAAACTGAAAATCTTAAAGCAGAACAGCCATGGAACACTTGAAGCCATGATCATGTATCGGATGAAACAAATGGGGGCATGTGCATTTTCATGTATAAAAGAGAGGGAGGAAGGGGATTGCCATCCTTCTCTGCTAACTCCCACTCAGGACAGAAACTAAGATTTCTAGCTGCCAAGTTACCAGGTAAATAATGTACATTCAACTTTGGAAGGTATAGCTAGGGCTAGGCACAATTTCCTCAAGACTGTGTGACTACAGGAGACAGAACACAAATAAACTTAATAAACAGGACCAGAATTTAGGGATGGGGGGAAAGTTACCATTGTGCTTCTGCCTGTCTCCCTCCCCCTGGCCCACAGAAAAGGTCAGCAGAACATATGGTGTCTCCTTCTAAAAGGAGGCTAATGATTTCAGCTCATCCAATGTCCCAAAAATTCAACTCTGATTTCTTAAGAAGGGCATGAAAAATAGAACCTCATAGCATTGTTCTCAAAATCAAATATTAAGATTCTTTCTTCAAAAGAATTTTCCTCCAAGTTCTTTGAAGAATCTTAATATTCTCCAAGATCTATGAATTGAGTCACATTTGAGTAACTCCATTCCACTCAGTCCGAACCACTGCACTGCCAAAAATGCTGCACACTCAGAGTGCCAGGGGTAGTGATGCAGACATGTGTCCAGTAAAAGAACAACCACATGATCTCCCATCGAACACAGACTTTACCACAGGCCAGTTGGGATCATGGAAATCAGAACCCAGAAGAACACAGACTTGTTACCTGATAGTATAAGGATTTTATGACATAAAAGTACTAAGTGTTCTTCTGTCCCACTTTCCTTCATCGCCAAAAAGGGGTGGCAGCGCAAAGCAGGTTGTTAAACAGATACTATTTTGCATCAAATTGTATGCTTCTTTACATAAAGTCTACATTCTGTCAACTCTTTTATGAAAAGAGGAACTAATAAATCAGCAAGTCTTATCTTTCAATGTTAGGGTTTTTCTTTTATCTACTTGAGGCTGTTAAGTGAAACCAAATTGACGATCAAAAGTCCAGAGACCCTAGTAAGCAGCTTGTGAAAGCACTTTTAAAAAAATGTAACTGACTATACTGCGGAGGCAGAGGGCAGAACTGGCACTTCTAGTAAATGCAGATGTTCTTCCCTGACGTACTATTGCTGTATTTCCAGACTGATACCTGGGATAAAGGGACAGAGGCAGATATTATTACCAGTTTCTATGCTACAACACAGCATTTGCGAAAATGAGTTTAGTGAACTCCCTGTGATTAGGCATTGACTTGAACAAAATAAATTTGCCATGTACTTTCCCCAACACAAGTTAAGCTTTTGTATCTTAGAACTTGTACTTAACATTTACTGTAGAGTTCTTAACCTGCTAAATCTCAATAGAACTTCTGTCCACTTACTTAATTTCATCGTCTACTAACTGTACTTTCATTACAAGATTTTTATCATACCATCACCACTATTTCCACATAATATCATAAGGACCCATATCTTCTAGCCTAAGCAACAGGAAGAATGAGAAATTTCCTGTTTACAAATTTGTTAGCAAGAACCAGTAACCAATATGCAAGTAACAGCACCAAATGAGACTATTTTTTCTTAATTCATGGAACTAAAATTTTAAATTTAGAACATTTTAATAAAGTAAATACTTTGGAAAAGTAAGCACGTATTTCGTACCTCTGAAAGAAACTTGTTCTGGCCCTGCTTTGCCTTAAATCGTTTAATTTTTTGCTGAATTCTCTTATCTTTTTCCAGGTCGTCTACGGATGCCCACTGACAATGAAGATAAGAGCTGAAAGAACAAAATAATATCCTTGAAATATGCAGAATATAATTAATCCGTTATTATGTCTTATTCAAAAAAGTCAACTAAACAGATAATTAAAATAATCTGCTTAATTACTCATTAAGGCTGCTGAGCAACATTTAATATACCCACTAATGTTTAGAATAAGAAGAGAAACTCAATATTAGTGCCTAAAATTTGCCTTCTGTCCTAAGCCTCCTGCTCTCTTACCAGCTACCAACGGAGAGAGACAGTGACAGAGACAGAGAGAGAGACAGACAGATACAAGAGACAGAGAGAGAATGGCCTAATAACAATCTATTTCCATAAGTGAATGGGTTACACTTCAACACAAAATTAGCACTACAGGGTGGCCTTAATTCTGAATTTATACTTTGAATCTCCTACCATTGAGAAATAGGTTTTTATCAAGTTAAAATAATTCAAATTTAAAACAGCAGTTTCTTTGGAGATAAGAGGTGTAGGGTACCCTAGAGTCATCCAAGGCCTATCATACTGGTCCCAAAGGGAAACCTAACCTGGTCCTTCTAGAACAATCTAGGAGGAGAGAACCACTGTTTGCTCCTGGAACACTGGGCCATGCCCCTAACCAGCTCTTTCTCAGTTGCTGGTCTCCCAGGCTGTGTTCCTCCAGGTGTTCCGCAATGATATCCCTTGGTTCCCTGTGAATGTTTCACTTGCTATCATCTGTACCTGCACGAGGCAACCCCGCGCCCCCCGGCCTCGCCACCCCCTGCTCTGAGCATGTATGGTGTCTTCCCTCACCTGAACTGGAATACATTTGTACTTCCCTTTTCTTCTCCAACACTCGCAGGTACACAGTTAATGTTTTATGGCAACTCTGACATTCTTTTGTTTAGTTCTTCAATATTATTTTGTCCCATCACCCTCTCCCTGCCCTCAAATAGACTTGACAGCCTCTTATTTCTCTTTCTGGTGATGACATTAAAAAGAAATTATATGCTTGAATATATATATCTCTTTCAGAATCAACATACTAGTACTCTTAGAAATTGTGCTTTAGTTCACAGAAGTCAGAAATTTAAAACAAGTAAAAAAAAAATTATACAACCATTACAAATTTTTCAAAAGTGATTCATGATAAAGGAAATGCTTATGATATTAAGTAACATATAACCGATAACCATGTCTCATATGATTTTCAAAGATAGGACTTATTTAGTCCTTCTATAATTGAGGGAGAATAGGATTTTAAATACATATGAGTTATATAGCTATGAATTGATATAAATGCTATATACACACACAGAAAATATACTAGATAAAATTGTATCAAAATGCTAATACAGGTTGACCATCCCAAATGTGAAAATCCAAAATTCAAAATGCTCTAAAACTCGAAACTTTTTGAGCACCAACATGATACTTGAAGGAAATGCTCAGTGGAGCATTTTGGATTTTAGATTTGGGATGTTTAACTACTAAAGTATAATGCAAATATTCCAAATCTGAAAAAATCAAAAATTCAAAACACTTCTGATCTCAACCATTCCAGATAAGGGATACTCAACCTGTATTGATTATTTCTGGGTACTAGGATTGCAAGTATTTTATTTTCTGCTTTCAACTTGTAGTTTCCAAATTTCCAATAAATAATATGCAATACTGTCATAATCAGAAACACATATTATATGAGGCAGGCAGATCACCTGAGGCCAGGAGTTCGAGACCAGCCTGACCAATATGGTGAAACCCCAACTCTATTAAAAAATACAAAAATCAGCTAGGCCGTGGTGGCATGTGCCTGTAATCCCAGCGACTCAGGAGGCTGAGGTGGGGAAATTGCTTGAACCCCAGAGGTGGAGGTTGCAGTGAGCTGAGATCATGCCACTGCATTCAAGCCTAGGTGACAGAGGGAGACCCTGTTCCCCCTGCCACACATACACAAAAAGAAACACATATTATAAAAATAATCTGCTCTAGTCTCCAAATTATTTGACAGAAAAAGGCACAAGTGCAGTCGGTCAGTATTCTTGTCTTGGTTGAGGTGCAAAAGCCTTCAAAGCACCACCTGTGTAGCCTTGAACCGGACACAGGCATATATGCAAGTGGCTCCAGCCCTGCTTTATCTGCTATAAACTGGGATGAAACTTTCAGTGTGACTCTGCTTTCTAGACCCTGATGATATAGTTAGGAAGAAGAGGAAGGAAGAATAAAGGGTCAAAAATAGACTGCTTTGTTTTAATAGATTAAGGCAAGAGAAAGTTCTAACTGAACTAGAACTAAATTTTTTTTTAAAGTTATGAAGAAGTAAATGTAAGAAAAATATTATGAAGCTAATAAATAATCTGAACTAGGCCCTACAGATAATAAAGTTTATGGTCACTTTGGAAAACAAAATTTCATTTAAAAATAAAATGTAATGACTCTTTATGAAACAGGTATACATTTACACCTGATCTTGACAGTTAAAAAAAAAAAAAAAAAGAAAGAGCATATCCCTTACCCATATCAGTGCAAAGTAGTAAATATTTATATTTATAATACTTATAAATATTTATATTTATAAATAAATATAAGTAAAATATTAACAAACACGACTCCACATCACATTAAGAAAATAATACGTCATGACCAAGTAGTTATTTCAGGAATGCAAGGTTGGTTCAATATTAGGAAATTCACTAAAAATATACAATATTAATATATCTAAGGAGAAAAATCACACAGTTATTTCTATTGACATGGAAAAAACATTTGATGAAATTTAACACCCATAATGGATTTTTTAAAACTTAGGAAGACAGGAATTGATAGGTATTTTGTTAACACATATTTGAAGATTTTAGTTCTAAAGACAAGATCTTACTAAATGAAGAAACACCACAGTTTTCCACAAAAATCAGAAAGCATGGATACCTACTATCTCCACTATTATTCAATATTGTATTTGAGGTTATTAGCCAATGTCACTGACAAGTCAAAACAATAAGAGACATAATAATTAGAAAATAATAAGTAAAGCTATCTCTGTTTGCAGATTATATGATCAGGTACCTGGAAAACCCTAGAGAATCAATTAGAAAACTAATTCAAATAATAAAATAATACAGCAATGTAGCAGAATATAAAATTAGCATATATAAGCCAACAAATTATCTTCATTCACAACAACAATTACCAATAAGGAGATATGTTAGAGAAAACCGCTTTCACAATACCAACAAAGATAAAATACTTAACAATAAATTTAATTAAAAATGTGTAAAATTTGTATAAGAAAATATTTAAAACTCTTATAAGACACAAAAGTAGAACTGGACCACTGAAAAGACATCATTTTCACACTGTGTAACTCAACATCATACATCATAGAGTTGTAAATTTAACACAATGTAAATAAATAAAATGCAAACAGGCATTTATATGGGGCTAAACAATACTAAATTTTATATATAAAAATAAACATGCAAGAATATCCAGGAAAACATTAAAAGAGAAAAGCTACTAGGGAAATAGATCTACCAGATACTAAAACACACTCTAAAGACTCCCTAAGTAAACAGTGTGGTATTGGCTTATAAATAGACAAGCAGTTCAAAGGCATAAAGTACAGATAAATTAAAAAATAAATAAAATTTTAAAAACTTTAGGACATAATAAAGTTTGGATCTCAAATCACTTGAGTCAAAAATGGACTCTTTTTTTTTTCTTTCTTTCTTTTTTTTGAGATGGAGTCTCACACTGTCGCCCAGCTGGAGTACAGTGGCGTGATCTCGGCTCACTGCAACCTCTGCCTCCCAGGTTCAAGTGACGCTCCTGCCTCAGTCTCCCGAGTAGCTGGGATTACAAGTGCCTGCCACCATGCTCAGCTAATTTTTTGTATTTTTAGTAGAAATGGGTTTCACTATGTTGGCCAGGCTGGTCTCAAGCTCCCGACCTCATGATCAGCCCACCTTGGCCTCCCAAAGTGCTGGGATTACAGGCATGAGCCACTGCGCCTGGTCAAAAATTGACTCTTTAATAATGGTGCTAGAATAACAATTGAAAAAAATTAATTTAGAGCCATGACTTACACAATACACAAGAATAAACACCAAATGGATCAGGCACCTAAATAGATAAAATGAAACCACAAGGAAAGCATGGACAAATTCCTCTGTAATCTGGATATAGGGAAAGGCTTTCTAGCTATGACACAAAAGCTAGAAACAATAAAAGAAAAAACTAATAAATCTGACTGTACAAAAAATTTTAATGGACAATGCAATAAACACCATAAAGTCAAAAGACAATTGAAACTGAGAAAAGATAGTTGCAACCCAGATAAAGAACTAATATCCCTTATATATAAAGAGCTCTTAAAAGTTAAGAGCATGACAGAAAATGGGCAAAAGACACAGACAACTGACAAAGCAAGATGTAAAAAGTGACCATTAAACTTATGAAAAGGTGTTCTTATTCACAGTAAGAGAAAATGCTAATTAAAACCTCAACTGAAATACAATTTCTTAAAAAAATTAAAAAGTAAAACAGCACACTATATTAGAAAGATTGTGGGGAAATAGGTGTTTGCATACATTTCTGACAGGAACACAAATTCATACAACCTGAAGGAAGGGAATTTGGCAATATCTCTCAAAAATACATACATGTTTGCCTTTTGTATCTAGCAAACCCACTTCTGGGAATTCACCTGGAAGCCATGCCTCCAACAACTTGAAAATATAGAGATATGTATGAGAATATATATTGTGGCATTATCTGTAATTGGAAAACATCAGAAGCCACTTACACACCCACATACACAGGAGGCTGGTTGAATGGTTATGGCACAGTCATGCAATGGAATACTATACAGCTGAAATAAAGAATGAGGAGGACCCCTATGAACTGAGGTAGAGTGATTTCCAGAATGTGGTGTGAAAAAAAGCAAAGCACAAAAATATACTAACAGTACACCAATTTCTTTTTTTGTAAGAAAGAAGAGGAAATCATACCTGCATGCTCATGCCAAATTTTACAGAAAGGATAAACCTGGGATTAGTAAGGAAGCAAGCAGGAATGCGGTGGAAAGGAAGGGAGGACTACACTTCTTTTTTGTATAGTTCTAACTTTTGTAACATATTAATATTTCACAAACTTGAAAAACAATAAAAATCAACAAGAAGGGGCTAACATGGAATACAAATACAAACCAAAACTAAGGAAACACACTGTGTATCAAATAAATCATGAGGCCCCAACCTTTTTGGCACTAGGGACCAGTTTCGTGGAAAACCTAGATCCCTCGCATGCACAGTTCACAATAGGGTTCACGTTCCTATGAGAATCTAATGCCGTGCTGATCTGACAAGAGGCAGAGCTCAGGTGATAATGGCTAGTCGCCTGCCGCTCACCTCCTGCTGTATGGCCAGGTTCCTAACAGGACACTGACCAGTACTGATCCACGGCCTGGGGACTGGGCATGCCTGAAATAAGTAACAAACCACACTGGTGGGGTAGGGAAAGAGAATAACCAACCTAAGGAAATTTTGGATAAAGTTTTAGTCCCTATGCCCTCAAACTAAAGACAAAAAACTAAGCAAATATAGGCTTCTTTTTCACATAAATATGGACTAGTAATTCTGAAATCACTTCCTATATATGTTAGGACTGACAAAAAAGCAAATACAAAGAATAAAAGAGGCAGGTTTACTCTTGTTGAAGAAGGGAATTACTAATATTAAAGGGAAAAGGAGAGAACAAACTCTGAGCTGCTGGAATAGTACTGTAAGTATCAATATGTAGGCATTGTTTTTGCTGTTGTGTTGGAGAGGTAGGTAAATATGTGTGTGTATATGATAAACAGGTAAGTGTGTGTGTAACTCGATATATGTATGTATATATACACACACACAGACATACATACACACACACACACACGTGTACACTCTCCCAGTCCCATCCACTGAGAGGCACTAGAAGCAACAATTCCTCAGCAACAAGGAACACACCTAAAGCCCAAATCTTGGTTTCTCAGTGCCCCCCGTTCACTGAAAACAACCAAGCCTTCTTGGAGAAGTAACTGATCCCATAACTAAAACAGGGAAGTTACGAGACGAGCCTGGAACATCCTCTGGTGCCAGAAAGCAAGAAAGTGTTCAAAGAAAAATGAAGACAAGGCAAAAGGACAGAAGAGCCAGTCTGAAGGGGCTCCCACTGGCCAAATCTGGTATAATGTGGGCAAAGTAAATACTACAACAGTAAAGAGTTATAATCCCTTGAATAAAATGAGAAGCCACAAGTCTGCTCAGCTATAAATTAACAAATGGACAAGAGGGTAAAGCTCTTCCCTACAGTAAAACCCAACCAATGTAGAAGAAATGATGGAATTAGTAAATTATCCCTTCGCAACCATTACCATATTTAAGTCTTAAAGTACCTTTCCAGAAGATACACATTAACTACAAAAAGAAAAACAGAAATTCTTTGTACTATTTTTACAATTTTTCTATAAATGTGAAATTGTGTACAAATATAAGGCTAACAAAAACTCGTAGTTTTATGGAAATCTTAACTTCTCTTAGCTCTCAATAACAACAGTCAGAAAAGCTGTTTTTTTTTTTTTTTTCCAAAACTCCCTTTACCTCATCTCAAATGACTTTTGAGAAGGGCTAGAGTCTCCTGGTCTGGCAGTGCCACCTGGTCAGGAACTCAGAGCCCATCTCTGGGGTCACTAACAGGCTGACTGGAAGGAGGCAGCTCAGGCCTCACTGTCACACACTGATCTGGAGGTCTCTCTGGTAGTACCATTATTTTGGTGATTGATATTTGAACTCCTATGCTCTTGTTTCAATTTGGTAAATCTACAAGGGAACTCTCTCCCTCTGGTTTACTTAGTTTACCTCCTCCTTACCATAGGAAATCGTGTTGTAGGCATAATTTCCACATGTGTAAACTGACATGCTCTGAGGACAAAAGAATGACGACAGTTAACATTTTCCGAGCATTTTTAAAATTGTCAGACTGTATTTCATTGAACTCTCATGATAAAACTGATAGAGATTTCTTTATCTTTTTACTTGATAAAAGGTTTTACTCACAACTTCTTTAGAAGCGCATCAATCTATTAACAGTGCCAACTACAACAAGAGAGAATGATAGAAAACCCATGGCACCTGATGCTTTCACTTTCTAGGGTGGGCTAAATTTTCTGAAGCTGTTTTCACAGCAACTCACAAAAGCCTCTCTTTAAAGCCCTAAGAATGTATTAATATGGTGGTTTAGTCCTTTGTCTTAAAAGGGGTAAAAAAATAAAATTAATGTTTACATTATCAATGAACATTTTGTCCTTGTTCTGTGATTGTTATTTAGGTTACAAAACGGCCTCAGTCTTCTTCAGCAGAATGATTACTGACTCTGAAAACACCCTAGCTCGTCGCAATGTCTGTCTGGGCCAGGTGTACTGCTTACAACAGAATCTACAAGGACAACAACTCACTGTGTTTTTCAATTCAGATTTTTAGTTATGAATTCAAATCTACTAAATAAATATCAAAAACAAACAAAAATAGATAAAGCTATAGCTCACTGCATTTTAGAACCTGAGTGATGCCATGGTTCTCTAGAACTTTCATTCCACAGGAGAGTTCTTGTGTCTAGGGCCTTGCACCCTATGCACAGGTGAAGGGACGAAGTGTAGCCCCACAGGGTAGAATTCATGATCAGAGGACAGGGAAATACTGCTTTATTCATTTTTCTATTATTGTAGAAGTTTTTATCCTCTCTAAAAAAAATACTTATTGATTATATACGGAAGTTAGTCAACTTTTACACCAATTACACATTTTCCAGAAAAATTCACAAAATATCAAACATACAAAAGTTGGTTAAAAAATGGCATCCCAGGCCATGATGACTAAAGAAATCATACCAAAGTTTCTTAATTCACCAACTTAAAAAAAAAAAAAATGGTTGCTTACTACTTGGAAAATATAGCCCCCCAATAAAAACAAAATCACAATTTACTTACAAGTTTTTGTATTTCACATAGAATTCCTCAATTTCTACCTCCTCTCCAGATTCCTTCTGCAACAAAAGAAAATTTCAGGCACATACTTAAAACCATCTACTACAATATTTTAAAAGTAATGATTTACTCCCATATGAACACAAAACAGGACTGAGAAGAGCAGCACAGGCCCTTCACGTAAGATGAGCACGCTGTGAGCTGGGAGGCGGCCAGGGCCACGGAGACTGCCACGCTCAGGCCCATGCACGCACCTCTGCCCGACGTGCAAGAGCTTCTAAGACATGAATCACTTTAACTCCTCCCTAACCACATGCAGCTTCATTCACAACAACCTGACCCCAAATCTGGCTTTCTGCCAAACCCACAGTGTTAAGTAGACGCCAAGTGTACCATTTTCTCAGGCAGCAGCCAATTAGCAACTGCTCTCCTGAATGCCATATGTATTATTTTTGGCTGCCTCATGGCAACTTTACATTGTGGGTTTTGTAATGTTTTAAAATATTTAAAAGACATTTATTTCTCCATATACTTAATAACTCTAAACAAGAAACCATATAAAACTAAACCTTGTTCTTATGCTATAATTTCAGTGCATGACTCTTCGTAGTTTCACTCAATGGTACAATTAAAATCTCTCAGACAAGATGTCTCACACACATAGCAGCCAAATAAAATTAACACACCAAATACTACATTTAGGTAAGGTTAAAATTGTGATACATGTCAGCCAAATCAAGAGTTTTCAGTAGTAAGATTATCTATAATATCTCCCTTGATCCTACCTGCTGTAGTGTATGCAGAAGTTAATGTTCAGATGATATTTTAGGCATCTCTTTTTATTCCCCTTTTGGTTTTAGGCTCTTAAGCAAGTCATAATATGTAATTTCCTTCTGGAACATTTGATCAGATAAATCAGGGATCTAAAATATAAACACCACTTACAGATGTTTGGGGATTGCTTTTATACTCTTACAAGAGACCCCGAGCCTGCCTTGAGGGTCATGTATGGCTGTTCAGCCACCTCCAAAATGCTTCGAAGAAAATCAAGGCAAGTAGGAACATGGCAAAGAACAAACGAAAGAGCAAAGGCTTCTATTGGATAACAGACGGGCACAGATCTGTTCAAAGGTACTAGTCCCCTCAATCTCTAACCTTCAAACTATTTTCAAAGATTATGAACTTAAACTTTTCTTTGAAACTCTCACTTATAACAGTTAAACCTAATTTTTTTTCTTTCTTTTCTGAGATAGGATTTGCTTTGTTACCCAGGCTTGAGTGAAGTGGTGCAAACATGGCTCACTGCAACCTCAACCTCCCAGGCTCAAGAAATCCTCCTGCCTCAGCAACCCCTGCGCCTCCCTGCCACCTCCCCAAGTAGCTGGGACTACAGGCACACACCACCATGCTCAGCTAATTTTGTATTTTCCGTAGGCTGGGTTTTACACCATGTTGCCCAGGCTGGTCTCAAACTCTTAGGCTCAAGCAATCCCTCCGTCTCGGCCTCCCAAAGTGATGTGATTACAGGCATGAGCCACTGCACCCAGCTAAACCTATATTTTAAGTAGTTTTGGCCTGTCTGGAAATCATCAAGAAGGAGTCTGGACATGCAGGAGTGGTCAATATCTATTAATATCTGGTTGTGCCCTAATGGATCTATGGAAGGTGATAACTATAAAGCATTATTTTAAACTAATATATTCAGAACGCCTTCTATGTCATAGACTTTTAGTTATCCAAAATAAAAATAAATGTATGTTGGATGGCTTCAAGAACCAGTAACATAAATGGAACATGGAATTAATTTGTAAATAAATACTATCAAGTTCAAGTGGCAATCCATCCAAGACCCACCCTACTTTTTTCTCTAGTCTTAATATTTCCCCATTCTACTTCCATTTCTTTTTCTTTTCTTTTTCTTTCTTTTCTTTTTTTTGAGATGGAGTCTTGCTCTTCTCTGTCGCCCAGGGTGGAGTGCAGTGGTGCAATCTTGGCTTACTGCAAGCTCCGCCTCCCAGGTTCACACCATTCTCCTGCCTCAGCCTCCCGAGTAGCTGGGACTACAGGCCCCGCCACCATGCCCTGCTAATTTTTTTTGTATTTTTAGTAGAGACGAGGTTTCACCATGTTCGCCAGGATGGTTTTGATCTGACCTCGTGATCTGCCCACCTTGGCCTCCCAAAGTGCTGGGATTACAGGCTTGAGCCACGGCACCCGGCCTCCCATTTCAAGATATATTATCTTTATAGAGAACCAGACATTCCAGCAGAAAGACAAAAAGATAGTAAATGATCAGGGAAAAAGAGAAGCAAGAAGCAAGGATGAAACTAGATCCTTTGATTCTTCACACAGCATTACCATGAAATTCAAATCAAGAATGGAACTCAAAGGTCTGAGCTTTTGCCCTTCTGATAATAATTATATTTTTTCAATTTTGAAGGCATTTTCAAAACCATGTATCATTTATATAACTGATATATGTTATAAATCATAAACAAGATTTATCATGTCTATGCTCTTATTATTTCTCCTGATTCTTCTATCTGATCTTTTCTCTCATACTGTCCCTTTCCTTCTCATTCTAAATGGTCTCATCATCCCATAATTCTAAGTGGGCACCAAAACATACAGGATCAAATCTTGAACAGTAAAGACAGTTTTTATTCTGTCTCAAGTCTGTTCCCAGAAAGCTCTGACTCTTACAGCCATCTGTCCCCAACTCTCATTACTACCCATTTTCTTGTCATGATAGCTATTCCTCTGGGAACCTGCTGTGAAGATGCCTGACAAGAGAGTCTAGGGCTGCCTAGGAGGAACCAACTAGGTTCTGAAACTTCATTTAGCAGCACCTGGAGCTGGTACAGAATTGTCCCAGGGCTTGTTATCTTTAGGATGTTTCAGAATACAATACTTTGTTCTGTTTAACGGACCATATATATTGGATCACCACCTTCTTGCCCCTAAAACTATAAATAGAGCTGTTTTTCACTGTTTCTTTCACATAAATATGATCATGCTGACCTCTTTTCTTTTACTGAACAGTAAAACAATTTAACAAAAGTGTGTGAATTCATAAGCCCTCAGAAACATCATTTCAATTATTTACTAAGTGGGAGGCAGTTTGACCAGCCTCTGATGACAGCTTACAACAGTCCCCACCCCAAAACCTCTCACCTCTAAGCCCCATTTTCAGAAGCCATTCTACAATGGGCATATGCAACGAATAACTAAGTCACAGCACTATTCCCATACATACACACACATATACACACAACACTCAGATTTATTTCTTGAGCAGCTACCATTAAATTTGAGAATCCAGTAATATTATGAATTAAACAGAATTTTTCTGAGAAATGTATACACCTTTTCATTAGTTCCAAAATTAGTCTATGGAAATCCTTATTATTCACATGAAATTTAAAGTTTCAAACATACTAAGCCATACTTGTCCCACTGTTCAAACAAACCAGAAATGTTGAGAAGGCAATAAATGAGTTCTCCAGCCACTTGGATTCTAAATAGCCACCCAGAGTGTAGGCCTAACTTAGGCCTTTTCTATGCGTCCTACTACTAAATTAAGTAGTCATAGTCAAGAAACTAAATTACAGAGAAAAAAAAAAAAAAAAGAAAATTTTGTTAAATAATACACAAAAGAATGAAAAAGCACCTCAATAAAGTTATCAATAAGGCATGGGTATGAATCCCTTTTGACTTCTGGCCCAACCTACCGTATTATTTTACTAGAGACACCAAATCACAGTTCACTTAGGGAAACAACAAGGACATAATAATGGATGAGATTAAGAGTTTTGCCTTCTTTACACTCTAGGAGGCTCAACTAAAGAATTAAAACACACACTCTGAAAATACGTCCTGTAGTTAACTTAAAGAAAAATAAAGAATTTTAGGGAATACAGTCACAATTCACTTTTAAAACTACTTTTGGCCTTCTAATACCAAAAAAAAAGAATCTTTGAATTATTCTCCAAAGATGAATGGCTCAAAGCAGAAACAGCTACAGGCTGACTAAAAAAGGAAAACAAAATAATAAGCCTTTATACAATCCAAGTATCTACTCATATATCTACCTCAAAATTCAAATAGGCACCAACTACCTCATGCAACTAGGTGTCATAGACATTAACCTGGGTTTAGAACAACATAAATGCTTGAGCTACCCCTATTTAATATGAGGTGCTGAATTAGGGTGCCTCTGCCAAGTGAGTTTTATGTTTGTACAACTCCATCATAATGGATCATGATGCTTCTCAGGCCATAGTGATGAGGTCACCTGACTTTGAAAAACATGGAGTCTCTACTCTGTGTCAACACCATGCAGAGCTCATAGCCAGTTTCTACAGTGCTGCCTGGCAGAGATAAAGACACCTTCTCACAGCCAATTATTAAATTATTCATGGTAATAAGAAACAGACCAGCAGGCACAGATCGAATCCACAAAAAATCTCAAATTTCCTTTTGTTTCTATTCGCAACACTTTCTTCCAATGTTATTAAAGGTGATAACTAAACTACCTACTTTGAGAATATTAGCAGTTTAAAAAGTTAGCACCTGTTAATGTTTAGTGCCTTCTAACGCTTTTTTATTGCCCTTTAAGAAATACCAGTAACTGACAAGTAATTCCATGAGCTCCACATCTCTTCTTTATTTTAAATCATACCTCAAAGCATATCTCCCTTCCAGAATAACTTTTTCCATTAATTTTCTCCAGCTTCAAATTCACCAACTCAACAAATGTCCGCCCTCCTGTACAGTGATTTTTAATCTCCTATGATAAGATAAACCCAATCATCAGTAAACAGTTAACAGTATCTATTCCTAAACCATGGGTACCTATCTTTAAAGGGTAGCTAAAGAGGAAAAGAAAACAAAAACCCTAAAGTGGGCAAAACAGAAAGAAAAAGCAATGTTCTACATAATGTATAGTCTAAGTAGCTCTGAATAATAGAGCTAATTATAATTTGCCACCCCTAAACCTGCTGAGTATGCCTGCTGAAGCACTGTCAATTGAATGAAAATTAATATATCCCATCTAAACGACATGCTATTTACTCAAACAAGTCACTTTAATTCAGTGAAGGGGATTGTTCTTCAAAGCATGTCAAGTATTTAAATTTTACCATATATCTACAATTCATAAATTAGTAGTTCTAGAGTCATTAGTAGGACAAAAATGCAACCTTCTAATGAGTTAAATAGTGCTTGTTTCTACTTGAGCAGGTGGAAAATTTGGCTGAGATTTTACCATTTCATTCATCAGGAAACCTTCACATTCAAAAAGTCACCAAGATAGCCAGTCACTCCATACACCGTATCCCCTATACTCAACTGGAAAACACCCTGACATATTGCTCTTGTTTTCTTACAAACTAGAGATACATATTTCGATAAAAATTCATACCTTGAATCACACGATAGCAAAGCACACAGTATTAAAATGAAAGTAAAGAGAAGTTTACCTGCTGGTGCAATAACATGTTCAAGGATCACTCAATAGCAGTATTTGAATGGTAATAGTCTCCTATTTGATAAGCCTGGGATCTCACTTTATTATAGGACTCTCACTGAGTCCTGTAAATCCTCCATTCCTCAACTCTCTTACTGGGAGATACTTTGTATACATTTTACTAAAAATAAACAACTTTAGGCACTATGGCTCACACCTGTAATTCCAGCACTTTGGGGGAGCAAGGCAGGAGAATTGTTTGAGCCCAGGAGTTCGTAGCTAGACCATGTCTTTATATTTTATTTTTTAATTTTTTGAAGTTTGTTTTACATGCTGAAACATGAAATTGTAGTTCCACCCTCCTTGAAAGCAAATACAAAGAAAGAACTGTGTGGAATCAATAACGACTGAAGCTGCGACACAGACACCTATGTCTAAAGCAGACTACTTCCTAGAGACACGAAAAATTGCATGTTGTAATACCTAATGCACCTGCAGGTTTATGTAATTATTCAAACTAAGCAAAGCATTTTCTCAAAGTGAGCTGTAAGAATGGCGGTGGCTAAAACAGGGAATTTTCATCCTGGCATTTTTTGTTAAAGAGCATATGAGTACCTCAATGACAAAGCAATCAGACTAGTGACAGATACTTAGAGCTCACCTTTGCAGATCAACAGAAACTTTGAATAACTCTGAAGTACTAAGTCAAAACTATTTTTTAAAATTACACTGAAAATAGATCTGTATTTCACTTTTGCACTGGCAAGAAAGAAATGAATAATTGTATATGAGAAAATGTTACAATACACATGAGAAAACACTTACTTGCTAAAATGACAGAATTTCCATCCTAACATGAAAGAGGAGGGAAAACCTTCCTAAGAGAGATTAGAAGTAAATTCATGTTTTGATTTTTATGAATACTATTTATGAAAAAGACAGTCTACAACTTTGAAAGTCCCATACATTTATTTGGAGACTTTTGAGTTTCTAGTTCACTCTAAATGGTGTAATAAAGCACTGACTGCTTGATATATTTTAATTTCATTTGGGGTCAAATATCCCAAAGATTCATATTGGGTTAACAAATTAGACAGGATTAGAATTATTACTAGAAGTTTTATTTTACAATATTAGAATTTTAAAAGAAAATTACAAAGCCAACAATCCTGTAAGAGTTGCATACACCTCACAGATTTTAATCGTTCCAAATGGCACTCACCTGCTTTTTTACTGAACGACTGCTCATAATTTTTTCTACCACGGGGCCTTCTGCATCAACAGATTCCTTAAAAAAAAAAAAAAAAAAAAGAGTCCTGTGAATCAATTCAAATAGAAAACATCTCATCTCAAGCTATAAGAGCAAGAAATCATTCCCTTTTGCTACCACCTCCACACCTTTTAAGTCACTGGGCACAAAGTTATCAGTGAGACACACGACTGAAAGGAACAAAAATCTCACTCTACTGAAAGGCAAAAGGAAGATTTGTGCTTATTACTTCATGATTATATGGTTTAATTATGTGGACCAGCCTAGGCCCCTAAAGCTAGAGAGCAATCAGAAATGCTAGCCACCAAGACAAAATAATTTCTACATGTTAGCAGTCAAAAATACAACTTTTCTTCATCTATACCCATGGGGTAAAGATACTCATCATTCTGCTATAGTAGGCATCTTTTATCTATGGAGGTCACATAAAACATTATGTAACAACTTAACATAGAAAAAATTACCAAATAAAATGCAAAGGTGCATTTAATACACTTTTCAACGGGTTACCAGTTTGTTAACTAAAGTACAGTAATGGTAAGAAAAAAGCATTATTTTTTTAAAAAAGATCTTTATAATGATCAATCCTACACTACCCATATTTTATACAAACTGTTTTATCCATCATTTACATTGCACAGAGAATAAAGTACACCCTGCTGGGTACTACAAGGCAGTAATTTCATAAAGGGGTTCTCACAGTGCCTAACAGCAGGAGACAAGCTTGAGTGGTTTATTAAAGTCCCAGAAGCCACAGCACTGAATTCTCAGAGGTATATTCAGCCTCCTTATATTTTAACTCTGGCTCTTCCTCAGCATAGACCATTAATTCTCCAAAATTGTGTCAAATTACATATCACAGGCTTACATAAAAATAAATTGCAGTGAACAGGGCTTTTTAAAAGATACTGCTAAACAACGTATTTCCCATAGCACATTATCCAACATTAGGTGGATGTTCCCTTGCTGAAAGTACAATGCTTCCACTGCACTTCTCAGATTGCAGCAATGAAATTTCCAGTCCATCTTTAAAATGCATCCATAAATCCCACAAATCTGGCACTAACCTGCTGTTCTGACTGCGAGGTGTTGGAGGGGGAATCCCTCCCAGCAGCATCTGCATCATCTGCCTCCTCATCGGAAATCTTGAACTCCAGGTCTTCAGTGTAGCGCTTTCTCTTCACCTGTCTGCTGGACCGTCTCTTCTAAAACAAAAACCCAACACAGTGGCCTTGAACTTAATGATTAAAAAGAAAAATGCTCTTTATAATGGCACCAAGTGGAAGGATGAATTTTTTTAAAATTAATCTTCAGGAAAAGGTGATAATGTTAATCCTATAAATGATGTGAAAAGATCACAGTGGTAACAAATAAAATAGAAATGGGTGGAAATCTGGAGTCAGACTCCTGGAACAGCTGTAGCCCTGCCACTCCCAGCTACGTGCCCTTCAACTGGGAAAATGGAAATAACAACAAATCTGGTTCCTCACTCAGTCAGTATGTCCATCAAAAGTGGCAGCAATACTGGAGCTGGCTAATGAATCTACAGGGGTTCATTACACTATTCCTTCTACCTTTGTACATTTTAACATTTTTCTCATATAAAAAGTCCAAAAAATATCAGTGCATTAGAAGATAATCTATAAATTATAAAGTTCTATACAAATATTGTTATAATGCTATCCAAGGTACCCAAGATATTTCAGGCCATTTTAAATGAAAGGTTTTTGTATTTTAATATTGATCCTAAAAGAAATACTCTGAAAATTTCTGAAGGGTTAAATGGCAGAACTCATAATGAATGACTATGAAAAGTAATTTTACTTTTAAAAATATGTTTTTAGCATAGTGGTTAAAATTAAAAAGATTGGTAACAGCCAGTATTAGCAGGATTACTGGCAAATTGGGTATTCTCACAATCCTGTGGTCAAAATGCAACCCATACAGTCCTTGCAGGACAATGTGGTCCTATCCATCAAAACTTACACACGCAGACTCTTTGACTCACTACCTTCACTTCCAGGAAGTTTGGGAATATCTGCAAGATAAACTGTAAAATAAAAAGAAAAACAAGCCACATAACAAGAAGTAGCTTAAGATTCTATTTAAGATAAATAAAAAATGTTATCTATTTAGATGTGTACAGCTCATTGATATATTAACTTCTTAAGACAAAAAGACTGCATATCTTGTTTACTTCTCTATGCCTCAATGAGTATTTGCTAAAAAATGAATGTATATGTATATGGCTTTAAACAAAGGAATCTGAAAAAACACACAACAGACTATTAATAGTTACAAAGATGGGGAAAGAAGCAAATGGAGCAGAACAAGAGGTTCTGAACTCTTTGTTCAGAATAATTCTATACTATTTAACTGTTTTGTCAAATAATTCATTTTGCAAGCTAATTAAAAACAAGGAGAAATAACCTTTTTATTGATATATGTATGTGAAATCTAGATTTGAAAATGACACATGTAAAGTTTTAACCTGCTAATGAATTCAAGACTATTACAACCTATGGAATGAGTTTGCAAAGCACACAGAAGAAACAAAAATATTGAGAAAAATTTTTATACAAAATTTTTTCTAAGAATTATGAAATAAAACTTTTTTTTTAAAGTCTCATGAATGCTAAAGTTGAGATAGTAAGGAAGAGAGAGGCAAAACATACATTGTGCACACCTAAAGCAAGACAGGCACTACCAACTCTCAAGTCAGGATGAACAAAATCCCAGTACTTTTCCCCAAAGAGTGGTACTGATTGATTTAAATCTTATTAAGTTTGTGTTCTCCCTGCACTTAAAAAGGGATTTGAGACAGTTCACAATATGAACTCGGTATAATTGACCATCAAATAGATTGTTAGAGACTGTTAGCTACAAGCCACACACAGCTGTGGGCACAGAGGTGCAAAGTACTTTTCTGACGTGAGACCACTCTAGGAAAACTTTTTAATAAAATAAAGACTTCCCTGTGGCTTACACGGAGGGAGTAGTGACATGGGCCAGAGGTTCCTCCTGGGACCCTCCTCTACATGACAAAGCTTTGGCACTGCCCAAATCAACCCCAGGTGGAGGCAATAGAGATTCCAGCAGAGTCTTTTGCCATCTGCAATCCTTCCCCATATCTCAGGTGGCAATTTGATCTTGTAAGTCCTAGAACGAAAAGCTCTTGTTTGAACTGGCCCCGACTCTTATCATGTGACTCTTATCATGTGACCTTGGACAAGTAATTTTGTGGACGACTCCTGGTCTGTAGAATGGGGTTAATGACAGTAACTACCTCATATGAATACTGTGAAGATCACATAAGGGAATTCATTCAAAGCTTTTAGAACAGTACATGGTAAATAATGTGAGATGTAATTAGTAGGACTAAAGTTATCATTAATCAGCTCCAGCTTTCCAAAGAAAAATGGCCCAGTTACCTTGTACAGCTTCCCTTTTCTTTCCAAAGCTGACCTACTTACTCCTGCTCTCATGCCCACTTTACCATTTCTCACTTCTGGACCACCAACTTCTTCAAGATATAAAACGCCATTATCAAGAACAATTTTAATACTGCAAAATTTAGTATATGCTGTATTTCATTTGATATGTCAATTTAACTCAATTTAAATGGATTCATTTATAATTCCATCTTTACACCATTCCAGTAAGAAGGAATGGGCTCCTAGTGATCTGCCTGCAGATGTTTAATCAGGTTTCCCTGCTTAAGGCCCCACTGTCACAGTGTTGTGCCATATAAGTAACTGGATAGGGTCTAAGACAAATCCACTTTATGCTAAATCCCACCCTGACGTTAAAGAAGGGTTCCATCCAGTGCAATAAGACAGAGCGCTTTCTTCTTTTTAAATAGAAATTTATGAGTTGGTAAGTATAACTTTTAAAATATAAGTTCCTCCTCATATCAACTTTGTGATATAAATCTGTGCAATAGTGATGGAGTCAGTTAGCAGTGGATACAAGGTCACTTCATATGTAAAAACACCCCAAAATACAATTATAACTCAATTTTATAAAAATTTTTTAATGTTACATGGCTTCTCTAGTTTTAAAATAATAATAGATCTTATATTTATTTTGAGTATCAAGGTTCCTTTCACAATTCCCCAATGTAAAATTAAATTATCTAATACACAATGTTTCTATTGTGATCTGGTAAACTATTACTATCTGAAAGATTTTTGCGAATCAAAATGAAATATAAGAACTGTCTTTAAACCATAATCCAAAACTTTTGAATTGACACTAAAATAATAGATCGACTTTTTAAACTCAGATTGCTTTAGAAAAGATACTTAAAACAGGTATAACAAATAGAACATTTAAATGTTTCCATGACCTCACTGTTGAAGTAACTTGTGACACAATTTTGAGTTAGTTAAAATTATATGACATGTACCTTAGTAAATCAATCACAAAACTCAAGAATTTTAATGCTAAGCCCTTCATGCATGTGTTACAGGAAGAAATATAATAAACAACAAGTCAGCATCACTTCCTGTGTCAGACATATCAAGAAAGCACAACTTTCAAAGTCAGATCTTGTGTGGTTGCTTATATTAGCTATTGAACACATAACAGTTAGGCCCTAGTCAATTAGAAAGGATACACCAATGTTCACTTGAATTGATTAGCAGTTTTCCATATTTGAAATGCAGCAGGAAAAAAAAAAAAAACCCTAAAGCCAGTATTTCATAAGGTCCATCTGAGTCTGAATTAATATAAACAGACTTTTAAAAAACAATAGCAGTATTTGTGAAAGAACAACAGAATTTCCTCTACTGACGTAAACAAATTCTTAATGTTGTCCAAATACTATTGACATAAAGGTCCTACTTTAAGCAAACACAAATCAGGAGAAAATACCCTTAAGGATAAAAAAAACACCTCAAAATCATTAAAACATTTGATTCGGTAAGACCAGATCCCAGTAAAAAAATAAAAATCATTAAAACGCTTTAGTTGTAAAACAGCCTATGCAATTAAAAAATGATATCTACTTACCTTCCTAATATCTTTCCATTGATGTATAAAATAAAATCACAAAATAACCCACACTGCCAAAGGTATCACTATGTTAGTTACACAACCAAACCAAACTAAACCAAAACGCATTCATTCACTCCATCTCTCTCTCTCTCCCTCCCTTTCAGGTCCAGCTTAAGGCTATTCTGTGAAGTTACAGGTATCAGGGAGTTCTACTCTAACAAACAAAAAGCCAAAGCCAAAAATATCTGAAATTCTTTGGAATAGAGCTGCACACTACAAATAGTTTGTTTCTGACTGGTGAGGGTACAGGTGGAAAGTCCTGAGTGTGTACTAAACGGTAAGAAAAAGTCCAGTAAGCTTCTAGAGGCTGGCTTCCTCCTGCAGGACAACTCTTCAGGAACTGCTCCTTGGCAAGTTAGATGTCATTCACATAAGTTACATTCCCAGCCATCCCAGTGGACTACACTGGCATGCTTCCAGGGAACCTAACAAGGAAATAATTTTTAACTGTCACGTGTAAGGGTCCTTCTCAGTCCAATCAGTGAAGGCAGTATGCTTCACACACAAGAACCTACATTCCTCACGTTTACTTCAGGGTTAGCATTTCAACTCATTCCTATAAAACTCTCCTAATGTCGGGAGAACATTCTGCAGAGTTGCCATTTGGAAAGTCTGTTCTTAGAAAGCTTGTTCTTAGAAACTTTAGTATTACATGAGTTACATTACATGAATATATCTCAACTTTGACTGTCAGATGTCAGAAACTTTAGACAAGTTACTACAAATTATATCTTGATTTTTAATTCTGCAAAATTAAAAAAAGTGACAATCAAACTTTAGAGAAATTTAAAAATGTGAATGAAGTTTTATATGAGCCTGTATATTCACAAAATGTTCAACAATATGTTAACAATAACATAGACAGCAAAATATACACTTACAGAAATAAATGAAGAATCTCTGCCTTATTAATTATAGAATCAAAGATAGCAAAATCAAGCCACTCTAGTCAGGAGTGTAATTTCTTGTTCCACACCCGCACCCCTCCCCACATCACTATGGAGATAATGTTCCAGACTACAATAAAGACATCTCAAAAGCATCTCTATAACAAGATAGCGGAGGTCTTGTGTACCTCATACATGGCTAAAGTTACCTATGTTAAATGACCAAGGCTCGGGGATCACAATAATTATATTACCTGAACACCTGGGTCCTCGTCTTCTTCAGGAGGAGGAGATGGTGGGGGTGTTTTATCTAAGTCTGAATTTTCAGAACCTTCTGTTTTTCCCTTGTTGACCTTTTTCTTCAAAGCACTTGCTTCTGAGTCAGGTTTCTTATTACTAGAATTCAAAGTGGATCACTTAGTGTTCACTTTTAATGTGTCTCTGCATGTCTCTTATATTTCCCACATTAACATCCCAAAAGTATCAATGACAATTGTTAAATTCATACATATTGGCTATTTACAGTTAAATGCAACTTCCAATTAAGTTTTCCTGGCAAAACTCCATATTAATGACTTTTAGCAAATATATGACCTGAATAAAAATAAATTGCATGCAAAAACTTATACCACACATAGTATATTTGTGCAAAATGCCCCCAGAACATCAAGCCATAATAAAAAATCAGATTAAGTAGTTTTGCTATCAAGTTTTTAAGGTACACAACACTTTTTTAATTGTCATGAAAAATGATATCATGATCATCTCTTTGTATCTTTTGTGGATAGTTTTACACACTTATTTAAGTACACTTTTGACCAGTACTAGAAGGTGTCCTCTTTTATACCATCCAGTTACATTTTTGTTCAACTTATAATCTTTTAGAATATAATCAAAATATATAGCAATTTCCTGTTGTACATAATTTTAGTGTTGTGTTCTTAATTAAATATAAGCTTTATTTTGGTGCTATGTTTTTTGAGATAATCACAATTAGCCCTTTTTTTGAAAGATAGTTCTCTGAAAAATAAAAATACAGTAAAGCAACCCTAATAAAGTGCATGTTTCATAGTATGCTGCTGACAAATGTTAGCAGAATTTGAATATTATATAAGACAAAGGACATAAACTTTAAGAAAAAAAATGTTTTAAGTTTGCCATTACCTCTAGAAACTTTACCTGACTTTCTTTCAGAACGTATATTTAGTGTTACCTTCCATTTCTATTTCCAAATCAGCTCTAATTTTTTTTTTTTTTTTTTTTTGAGACAGAGTTTTGCTTTTGTTGCCCAGGTTAGAGTGCAATGGCACGATCTTGGCTCACTGCAACTTCCGCCTCGCGGGTTCAAGCGATTCTCCTGCCTCAGCCTCTCAAGTAGCTGGGATTACAGGCATGCACCACCACGCCCAGCTAATTTTGTATTTTTAGTAGAGATGGGCTTTCACCATGTTGGTCAGACTGGTCTTGAACTCCTGACCTCAAATGATCCACCTGCCTTGGCCTCCCTAAGTGCTGAGATTACAGGCCTGAGTCACTGCGCCTGGCCATCAGCTCCAAATTTTCTAACACCAATTACTATTTGTTATCCAACACTGAAAATAATCCAACCTCAGTAATGATATTTTTCAAAAATATTTCTAGAGAGCCTCAAATTCCAATAAATTGTGAAAAACAAAAGCTGTATTTCAAAAACCTTCAAAAAGTTTATTTATTGAAATGTGTAAGTTCTTAGGAAAATGTGCTGACACAATGCATTAAACAGCATGTTTTTACCGTCGGCTACTACAAAAGGAAGAAGCCAAGATATCTATAGGCTTTCAGAATAAAGCATATGTCATGTCAAATATTTCAAAAGTATTGTTAATAAAGTACCCATCACACACCTAAAATGGATTTTTTCAACTAAATAAAATATCTGATCATCTTAAATTAGTTATTCTTAATACTCAGAGTTTTATTTTATTTTGTTAACATTTTAGCATAGTAAATAGCTACATAAGAAAATAGCAATTCAAGATTATAGCAAATGGCAGTTAGGTTTAAAAAGCTATTTTTATTTAAAAGAAAAGAAAAAGGAAATGCTCTAAAAACTTTGTCTTCAAAAGATCCACAGAAAGCATAATATTTTTAAAATTAAAAAAAAAAATCCATACAACCGTTTCTCATCCAACTGTCCTAGTGTTTACGCTACACATGGACAGAAGTCTCCCCTACTATGAGGTTCCATTTCCAGCATTTATTTCCGCTCTAACTGCCACAAATTATACAATACTACAGCTGAACACTGGGCCCCTTTCCTTTCATCTGCACGCCAAGAGCAATCAGATTACCCTGGTAACCAGCGGTCACATGACCAGCACCTGCTCTTTTGGCTGGATGCCACTGACTAAAGCCATCTGCTTCCCTCAATCAGCTTTCAAACATTCTCAACACCTGCGCTGCAGTGTTTTGTGGTTTCTTTTATCAAATCAGTGCAAAACTGCTTCCAAAACTTTACATATTTCTCAAATTTGTTTAAATCAGAGGTAGGCCTGTCAAAGAGTTGAACCACTGCCAGGTAAAGTGAGTTGGCAGCTCGTGCTTTTCACGGTGACCTCTCTATACCAGAGTGAAGTACACGGTTTAATTTAGAGGGCTGCCGGGCCCTGCATGCATGGTCCTACAGGAGTAAAAGGCTTACTATCTGGAAACCGACCAGAGCCCAGGTTTGAAGAAACATCAATTTGCTGAAGGAGAGAAGTGCTAATGATTTTCCGTCTGCCCTTCCAAAGAATGAACTGTATGGAAACTCCAAGATAGCTGAAAGTCAGACAGGCCCTCTCCAAATGTTTAGACAAAAAGCCTATAGCCAAGGGAAGCACTTATCCCAGATCTGAGTATGGAAAGATTTCTAAACTCATCAGACCTTGCACCACTCATGTTGTTAAGGGACAGCTAAGCATTTCCATGCATCAATATACAAATCAAAGAACACTCTAGGAAGTCAAAAAAAAGCAACAAAATCTTCAGTGTCCACCCTACAACATTACTATCAAGGACAAAATTAAGTTATGTAAATTAAATTGCCTTTGCTACAATTCTGCAATAAGCTAATTGTGATTTTCAACTAAGTGTTGTATTAAAACTGCTTTGCCCAAAAATATCCAAGTCAAGATTTTTCTTTTAACAGACAAAGGTAATCTAGAATGGTGGATATGAGCATTGACTTGAGTCAAGACAAACCTTAGTTCCAGTTCGAACTGTCATTTATAGGCTGTGACCATGGATAAGTTACTTAATTTGTCTGAGCCTCAGTTTCCTCATCTGTAAAATAAGGTTAATATTTATACAGTCTTCCAAGATTTATTATGAGGTTTAAATGAGAAAATGGCACAGACAGTTAACATCCACACCCATGTGAAAAACAAGCAGCTGAGTCTGGGAAGTATTCTCTGGTCATGGCTCAGACCCATTTGGGCCGATTCAGCTGCAGAGACTTACAGACAGGACCCCACCTTCACCGAGGATGACCTCATTCAAGCAACATACATAGAAGGAAGAGCCTTCATCAATATTACTAAGCAGTTGCTAAAAGAACATGCAAGCAAACAGACCCACAGTGCACTCCTCCCCATGCCCATGACCACTGCTTTAGTTCAGACACATCATTTCCTGCCCAGGCTATTAATCACAACGGCTCCCCACTGCCTTATCACCCTCATGCCCCACGTGCAGGGCTATACAACATCAGACTGGTGGAGAAAGGACAGAGAGTCCACATGCATAGTTATCGTTTATATCTGTAAGCGTCAAAACTAGTCTTTTATAACGTCAAATCCAAAACATAGACATATATTCCTCTTCCGAATTACAATAGAAGCTGGAATGTATAAAAACGGCCAGTGTTCTAGGTAGGGGGGATGAGAATGTCTTTAAGAAGTAACATCACTTAAACCAACATTGCAATATTGAAGATAAGGCCACTCTGCTGCCTGACGCAGATACGGAACCATAAGACTCCTCTAACACAGCAGTGATGGCTACTCATGGGCCTAGCTCAGGCCGACAGCCATGTGGCAGCCTGTGAGTGGGAAGAATAACTAGGCCATGTGCAGGGAACACCTGTAAATTCCATCCCTGAATGGCACCAGCCCAGAAGAAATCAGGTCTGCCCTCATTCCTCTCCTAAACCTGCTGTGTCTTCTGCATTTCCCACCTCAGCATCATGGTAATGCCACCAAAACATCACCTGAAAACTCATCTCAAGTCACCAGAGTAACCAGCTGAAATGCAAATCTGACTGGGGCATTCCTCTGCTTCAAACCTCCACATATAATGTCTGAGATTCTCCATATGGGGGTACCAGACCCTTTGCCTCTTATGCTTCCAGGCATACAGAACTGTTCTCCAAAACACACATGTATCTCTTCTACCTATACTTTTATCCCAATCTACTCATCTGCAAGACTCAGCATAGACACCACTCATTTCAAGAAGCATTTTCTAATTACCACAGTCTGGATCAGATATGATCTCCTCACTCCACCCTGGATGGTGTCACATGATGCACCCCATACAAAGGATATGTAAAATACACACAAGTTGGTGGTAACATTACTGCAATGTATTAAAATCAAAGTACTATATGTGTGTCTTTCTCCAACTATCATGTAAGCTCAAAGCAGAGAAGGAACTGTGTCTTACTATGTTTGTATTTCTAGAGCCTACTCTGGTAGGTTACTTATAATTGTTAACTGGTCTAGTTACAACAGTACAAGTAATATCAATAACAACAGCGGAAACATACATAGCCCTGGGTATGTACCAGGCACTACTCTAAATATTTTTCTCATTAACTCATATAAGAACTCCCCACATAGCACCTACCTTGATGAAACACCTATAAAGCTCAGTAAAATCAGGCTAAAGTTTAAAAACATAGAATGAAACCTAACATTTTTTAAAAAAACAATAGAAAAGAATACCATCTACATACCTTGCCTTCATACTCACAAACTTCTTTTGTGATCCTTATCTCACACCATTACTGATAATGACCAAAAAGCAGGCCACCCCTCCTGAGGCTAGAGGCTGAGACACAGAGCCATCCACTCATGAAGCTAGAGAGACATGGAGCCATCCACTCACGAGGCCAGAGAGATGTGGAGTCATCCACTCACGAGGCTAGAGAGACGTGGAGCCATCCTCTCCTGAGGCTAGAGAGACTCGGAGCCATCTATTTGTGAGGCTAGAGAGACGTGGAACCATTCACTCATGAGGCTAGAGAGACGCAGAGCCATCCACTCGTGAGGCTAGAGAGACTCGGAGCCATCTATTTGTGAGGCTAGAGAGACGTGGAACCATTCACTCATGAGGCTAGAGAGACGTAGAGCCATCCACTTGTGAGGCTAAAGAGA